ACGAGCAAATTCGATGTGTTCTATTGTGTATGTATAAAATGAGAAAGTGAATGTATCAGTTCAGGATGTGTGCGCGAAATATCTGTTCTTTTTTTTAAAATGCCTTCACCGTTCGCTGGATGCTTTGAAAATCTAATTTTTGCATAGTGTATTTCAATGCCAGTTAATTACATTGTTCTAAACATGCATTCAGTCTCGCGATGCCGCAGCAAACAACAAAGAAATATACACATGTCTACCTTACTCTCTCAATGACTTTCAATCGTCATCTCGCTTCAAACATTCGATGGATTTTATGCAGTAAACTCTCAACATTGCGCACCAACGATATATGCTCACCAACTTCACTCGCTCGCTCGCTCGCTCACTCGCTTTACCATAGAAACGAATTACCGATATCTTTTTGTCCATATAAACATACAATGCGCATTCAAACAACATTTGTAGCCGGTATTTTGATGCGGCAGCAGCTGTATAAACCTCAACAAAGTTGCTTGAAATTGAGATAAAAAAAACAGCAAACTCTCTTTCTCTTTCCCCACATTCGACACTCTCGCGCCACTTTATCGATTTGAATGTACAGATGAAATATGTGTTCAGCACTTTTTTCATCTCATTTTGGTTGTTCTTTTTAGTTTCCTTCTTCTTGTTTTTCTTTTATTCATTTCAGATAATTCCTCTAACGTTACTTATATATTTCTTATTTTTACAACAACAACAAAAAAAATGTTTATTGTTAAGTCGTTTGTTCACGACAAATGTAGAAAATAATCAGAACGGACCAAGTATGTGTGTATTTTGAATTTAAAAAAAAATGTTGTAATCGAGCAACTCAAGCAAAATTTCAGCGAGAAAATATGTTTTATTTGTTCTTTCATTGCAATGAGATAACGTCTGTTATGATTATATTTCATATCGTTAAAATATTTATAAATAACAAGTGATGCACATTCACACATGCTCATAAGCATCAGCAGTCCAATGAATAAAATTTTTGTTATATATATTTTTTGTCATAGAATTTGTTTGATTTCAGTTCAAATGAGACTACGGAGACGATTGAGAAAGAGAAGAGAATAAATCAAATTAAAAATGAGCGCACGACCGAGCGACACATAATCGAATTCTCAATATGCATGGGAATATTTTCTTGCTCAATCACATTCTCACCTTCAACACATATTCTCAGTCAGTCAAAACAGATCACATCATTCAAATGATCTGTAATGGCCAGTCATCAACGCATATCGACTCATTTTAGATGAATTAAACCGCTTTCTGTGTTCGACGTGTAAAAATCGACAAAATCAACAGCAACAACAACAAAACAGTCACGCAGAAACGATAGAAAGAAGAAAAAACGCGTTTGTAGAATTAGAATGACATCGGGAAACTTCTTTCAGTTCTAAGAAAGAATCTTGAAATTTGTTACGACTGTGTGTGTGCGTGTATACGTGAATTTGAGCGAGCCAATAATCGCACAACAGAGATAGAGAGTTTGTAAGAGAATAGACTTTGCTCTGCGTATGAATATATAGTATTCACGGTCCTTTTGTATGAAAACAGAAAAAAGCGAAACAACCGAATGTTGAACAACACATATAATACAATGGGTCTATGTCATATTCCTATTGCTTGTGTATTGATCGATAAACATTTTCCATGTGGTGAATGAAACGCGTTCTCTCCACCAAATGCAAGAACAGTACCACTGCACTGCTAGCATCGTTTTCTTTTTTTTCGTTGAACAACCGGGCAACAACAAGTACAACGAAAGTGGCATTGGAACAATAAAGAGGCTCTTGCTCGCAATTGCGAACAGCGCCTAGAGTATGTCAGCGACGTCGCCCGAATTGATCCGAGCGAGGCCGGATTTTCATGACAAAAAGAAAAAATTGCCGGGATTTTTAAGAATTTGATACTTTCACCTTTTCACAAACTTTTTTTACTGTTAGAATTTTTAATTGAAATAAAACAAACAACCATTCGATTTTCGGCTTAGTTAAACCTCCAAGAATTTCACCTCCTAAATTTCGCACGCTTTTGAGCAAAAATCTCTCGGATTCGTCCGGTCCGGATTACTCTGAAAAAAATCTAACAGGTTTAGCCTAGAGTGACAGAAACAGAAAGCTAGGAAATAGAATTAAAAAATGATGGCATTGCCTCGATTTAAAAAAAGAGAGATTTCTACACGAATGCGATCGATCGTCCATCATTGTTGTGTACTTCGAATGGTCAAAATAGAGAAACAAGAAAGCAAACAATTGTGGTTTTAATTGCAGTTAAAAGCGTATAACACTTGGCTTTGCTACAAAATCACACATCATATCGTCCAACATCACATTCACAGTTCACTGTTGCAGTTGTCGTCGAAAGAAAACGAGCGAGAGAGAGAGAGAGTTGCAGAACGAAAGCAAGAAAATCAATTGATTACCGGTTACATGAACTTTAATTGACCGAGAATTTGAAATTGTCATAGAGAAAATTCGATTGAGTGGCATGGCTGAGTGAATGTTTTTGGTTGTCAGTTGGGAAAATTGAAAATTTTCGTATTTTATTTGCGAGAAAAAAAAAATGATTTTTTCTATGACATTTTTTTTGCGGTGTGTCTATGATTTTTTTTAGTTGTTGTTGCCAAAATTACAAACAATGTCAAGGCCACACCCATTCAGCAACAGCTGCATGATATCAGGCATTCATTTTTGAGTGAGTATTGTCGAGTGGCATAAGACCCAAGAATCGATTTGCCGGTTTTCAAGCTTGAGCATACTGAATAGTGAGTACTTTTCTGTACACCGTTCTTTTTGTTGTTGTTGTTCACTTTTTTGCTTCTTTAGCAATACATTTGTCTAGTTGTCGTTGTCGTCGTTATTGCTGCTGCTGCGCTCCATATGTATTTTGCAACGTGTTTTGGTCTCTTCGCTCACTCACTCATTTCTTTGTTGCTCATGCATGTGTATGCACATGTACGTTAAATGTACGTATATGACGGGCGCAATAAGAGAAAGAGAAGAAATACAGGATTCGTGTTATACATTTTTTCGTTGTTCATTGAAATCGTTGCCAACGAATTAATTCGTATGATATGAGCCGTAAATATTTATCACATTCACATCAAGATATCACACTTTAAGCAACAACGATCATACCAAATGAAAGAATATAAAAAGTGAGTGCCGTCTTGCACATACCACAGAAACCGAAAATGAAAGACATAAAAATTGAATAAGTTTATTTCAAAACTAAAATGGAATTATGCCAAAATATTGGATATATTGCCGTCATCAGGCAGGAAGGAGATCAAGGGAAGACACAACAAACAGCCTCTGTCATCGAATGAAACAAACATACGAGAGAGAAAAAAAGGCAACAACAACAACAACATATTCACAGCATATCTTTCAAAGATTTCAGTGATTGAAAGAGTTGCCTTCTGAATCAGAGGAAAATTCTGTTCAATATATTTATTCCCGATGCGAAAGCATATGTGAATACGACTGTCTGAGTGTGTGCCTGTGTAATAAAACACGAAAGCGTCGCGTAGTTTTGTTGATTTTTTTTTCTAAATGACATGTTAATCACAAAATGAGGACGAAAATTTCAAATGATCACATATTTATAAAAAAAGCATGAACAAACTCGCTGCTGACGAGAGAGAAGAGAAAAATAACAAAATCGGCACGAAAACAAAAACAAACTGACGACCACGGCAAACGAAGGAAAAAAAATAACAAATTTCAAATGTTTAACAAAGTAGCAAAATGCTAATAAGCATTCAAAATCGAAAATCATATATTTGTAATTCATTTTCGGTGCTATATGCTATGAATCATTGCACATTTATGTGTGAGTGTGTGTTTGGTTTTCTGGTTTTTTGACAACAAAAAAATTCATGTGAATTAGATGTAAAACGGTTGATCGAAATATTCAACGATGATGATATACATACGATTTATCGTTTCATTTGTTCATACATTCATTCGACTTCTTCTTTGTTTTACTCTTCTTATTCACTTTTTTCCTATGAATTTTTCTTGCCGATTCTTTCGCCTCATCATAATTTTTTTTTTTTCTCTCACTTTTCTATAATATATTTTATACCTATCTGTATATATTTTTAAAAATATCTACGAATAACCTCAAACAGCAACAAATTCCCAATGATAGGAGCGCGCACACACACACACACATTTGGCGCATATATATATATTGCATACACATTCCGAATTGAATGGAGAGTGAGACGACGAATGAGTCATATTTTTGTCGCTTTGTACAAGCTGTGTGTATGGTGTGTGGTGTGTGTTTTTGCTTTCTATGGTGCCGCGCGCGTACTTTACGTATAGTTGAGCCTTGTATTTATGTGCAATATGTGCTCTTCATTTTTTGAATAGTATTTCGTCGACTTTTTTTGGCTGTTGCTCTCATTCAAATAGTTTTCGACGCCAAAAATCGCTTACGTTTCCAAAACCAATATTCACTGAGACCGTTATGAGATCAAAAATGCTGGTGTACCAGTACATTTGAATTATTTTTTCCCTTTTGTTTGATTGTTTGACTTTTTCTTTCATTCAATCTCACTTGACTTCTGTTCATTTCTTATGATGTATGTAACCGTCTTTCGAACAGAAATTGCCACACAAAATCTGGAATGAGAACGGGGGACCACTGTGATGTCCAATCAAAATATTCAAATTTAAACACTGCAGTCATTTTAGCTTTTTTTCATCTTATTTTTTTTTTATTATGATCTTTATGAAATATTAAAGTTACAAAAAAATTATACATGTTTTTTTTTTTCATTCTTTCATTATTTTCATTATTCGCAAAGAAAAAAATAATTTTGAAACGAAAAACTCTATTTTGTTGTTTTGTATAAAATGAAAAAAGTTGTATGAAATACGCTTTCTTGCTACTGTCGTATGTATGTTTGCGGTTGTTGATTTTGCAGTTGTAGAGTGTAGTTTGTAAAAATTAAAAACCTGATCTTTATTCTTATAATCTTATGTGTTTTCGATATCATTACTTTTTTTTAATTAATTATTAGTTTTTATTTTTTTATTATTTTTTTTTTTGTTTCAATCTGGCTTATTTTGAGTTTAATTCTTACCATGATGTTGTTTTTTTTTCTTTTTTATTCTTTCAATTTTATTTATTTCTCTGTATTCAGTTGTTGTTGTTGCTTTTTTTCGCATTAATGGTGTGTATGTATGTTTATTGTTGTTGCTTCTGCTGCTGGTGGTGATGCTGGTGCTACCGCGCTGCAGTTGGCTTGCTTAGTATCCACACGTAATTAGATAATCACCCAATTTTTCGACGATTGAGGCGGCCTGTTGTGGCTGAACTGGATCTTCATAGATGGAAACTATGACCGCTTGAGCAGTTTTCATGCAATGAACACCATTTCGGCCGAGCTTTGCTCGAATGACACGATCCGTTCCTGACAAGTAAATGTATCGCTGACCGGCTAATGTAACACCGCCATTTGCAAGTATGTCTGGTTTGTCAAAGCCTTGAAGTAATTTGGCAATTTCTTCTTTGGTTACTTCAAAGTTTTCCGATTTTGCCCAGATACCACCGTCATGTCCAGCAATTGCTGCTTTCGACACGCATTTGGAAGCCAAAAGTTGGTTGTCAACGTAATCTTGCCAGCTCATATTTGTTGTTGTCGAGGTTTTAAACTTTCTGTTCGAACGAAATATCCGTGTGAGGGAAAAAATTGGAAATTTATTAGTTGAACGATTATGAAAATTGGTCGTCGAATGGATGTATCAATTTTTTTTTCTTTGTGTCTTTCAACGAAAAAAAAAATTTCAATCAATTCAATTCATTCAAAGTTACTGTTCACTCTTTAACGCACCTTCAGTCACTAACAAAACTAATTTATTTTGTATTTCGGTTTTTCTTTTTGGAAAAATATATGAAAACTGCTAAAAATAACTATTCGAAATAAATTTGATTCGTCACTCTCAGGCTATTTCAGTATACGCCTTTTTGTTATAGCTGCTGAGAAGAATGAATTCAATATATATAGTAATGGCGCATGGATATTAGAGAGAGAGACAAATGGTTTTTTTTTTTTGGTAATGTGTGCGTGTATGCGTGTATGTGTTCATGTTCATTTGCCTGCTGTATGCGTCGTTTATGTGGTGGTATATGTGTATCGTATATCTGTACTAAAAATTTCCATTATCGACTGTTATCGACATTTCACAACAACGGGCAATACACACTTGCCGGCTTTTGATCGTTTCTGTGTAAACAGAACACAAATCGTAAATTAAATTTAATGTATTTTCAGAAAATACTTTCGAAACAGTTTATTCATTCATCATTTTTAAAGATTGAATTCATTTTTTAAATTCAACCTTTCATTTTTACCATTTTATGCACGAATTTAGCGTCTCGATTGTAACATGTTTCATTTTGATTGGTATTGTGAACGCAGCGTAATCATAATGCATTGTCAACATTGCGCAGCTGCCATTGTGCACTCAAGACATTCTAAATATTAGTAAATATTTATTAGTACAGTTTCAATAATGTTAACGTTTCGATACAAATGCAATTCAATGAAACAAGTTTATTTACTCAAATAAAATAAAAATCGGATAACAAAATTTTATTTTAGCTGAAATAAAATAATCAATAAATTTTTTATTTGCTAAAAATGAAAAAATTTCTTGTGCTCAATGGCAAACGGCAAATGTTGTCACTCCAGGTGTCGCTGTATTGATACTTTTTAGAACTTGTCCCGTTCCAAATACAAATCAAATTCACTTTTTCGCTTAAAATATTTCGATGCATTTTAACGTTTTTTTATCATTGGTTTAATATCGGGATCATTTTCATTTCCTGTCCACAAGGGAATCCAAAATTAAAAGTTAGTTTTACTTGCTCAAAAACCTTGGTTTAAAATATAACTTGAACTTGACTGGTGTTTAAAAAGAAAGGCAGGTAGAGGGAAAAAATAAACGCAGTCAAAATCAAGTAATGATTCTGATGGAATACACTATTTAAACAATTCATAAACAATGAATTTCAAATCAGCACAAAATTGCCTTCAAAATATCAATTCTTTTCCTACAACATGTTGTACTTCGACAAAAATACTGGTTTTGTTAGGTATGAACATGATTTGGGATTTACGTGCTCCAGGCATAATTATGACTGAATAAATAAAAAAATGACGGTGTAGGTTTTTTGAAAATCAAAATATGCCAGTTAATGAAAACACAAATACAAATTTGGATTCATTTCGAGCGGCAAACCGCAAATTACCCTTTATATTTTATTGATCAGAGAAAGGAAGATTCGAGTATAAAAACGTCATTTTCAGCTCCCATTATGTCTTTACAATTTCTCTTTATTTAATAAAATAATTGTTTGAATTTAAAAACAAAATTATACAATTTTTAAATTAATTCATTTAAATTACATGAGTGTGTTCAAATACATATCTGTTTTTTTTACATGCAATAATAGCTTACCTAATTTAACTAAAGTTATACATATACTCGTCGTCGTTCTTTCATCTTTTGACAATCAATTGCAATTTCACAAAATTCACACACAGTATCAGTTTTATACACGCATATACACACATCTTTGTCATCACTGTTTGTTTTTCCTTTTAATTGAATAACACCGTATTTGGATCCTCATTGTCCATTTGCTTAACGTGTCGTAGTACATCCTTCTTTGTTATGACACCGAGTAATCGTCTAAAAATCGTGAGATAAAATATAAATAAATAAATTTAACACTTTATTATTGACTGCATACCCGTTGTGTGTGACCAATGTTTGGCGTAAACCTAATTTTCTGAACATATCTACAACAGTTTCCATGGGTGTTTGATCGGTCACTGTGATTGGTGCCATATCTAGGATTTTCTTCAAGTTCAATGGTGGTGGACCGAGATTTTGTACGGGTGCCATTGATGTAAACAAAACGATCGATTGGCCCGTGATTCCATCGATAAAACGTTTTGCATTCGCTGTGGACAGAAAAAAGAACATTTATTTGAATCTCATGCTGATTAAATTGTTTATCGTTTCTTACCGATTGCCAAATTGAGATCTCGTCTTAAAACAAATCCCACTAAATATTGGCTCTCTTTTGACACAACAACTGGATACCCATTATGTTCAGTTTCCTTTAGTAGATTTACGATATCATCGACCGTCATTGAATCTTGCGTAATCACTGACAATGTCTCATTTCGCCTGTGTAAAAAACAATCATTGTTTTGAAACGCAATTGAATAGAAAATAATAAATTGAATACATACTTTGGTTGCATAACATCAGCCGCAAGTGTGGTGTGAGCAAATTCTTCTTTACCCAAAAATGGATAACCGTTCAAAGCAATATGTGCATCATATATACCCTGAAAATGATGAAATAATCGTTATTCGTTTTGAATTTAATTTGCAACAAGAATGTTTGTATTTACCTCACGCCCAAGAGCATCGCCAACCCATTTTGATGCCATTGCAGCTGCCATCAATGGTACGATATAGTTCACGCCTCCAGTTAATTCAAACATGATGACAATCAGCGAAACTAGAAATAGAAATGCACTTTGCTCAGTATACTCTGTCAGGCAAATGAAATTGATGAATGAAATTACTTGTCATTCGAGTGACACCGCCAAGGACAGCGGCCGCTCCAACCATCGCATACAGGCCAGGTGTTATACAATCATCTCCGGTTGAACATTCACCGGAGAATATCCAAATCTTTGAATAGTTATACGCCAATTGCTCCATTCCTATGCAATCGAAAATGAATTCATTTTAGTCATCGAGCATGAAAAAGGGAAAATTATTTATTATTACCAATGCCAACAATTCTACCGATGATAGCACCAAGCGTAAGCGAGGGAATGAAAAGACCACAAGGAACTTTCATGCCAAATGTGAATACTGTCAATACAAGATAGACAATAAAGGCTAAAATTAGAAGCCAAATTGCTTTATATACACCGGGTCCGGCTGCGGCAATTTCAATAGCCGAATTTACATCGGTGAAATTTCGATTATAATCACTGAAATCGAACAAAAACAAAAAACCTTAGAATTCGCGCATTTCATTTGAAAGAATCTGATATTTTAAATTATAAATTATGTGACTCACCACAGAGGATCGCTGTTTGAAATGCCACATTGGCTGAATAGCAGTAAAATCAATTGTGGCATATTGATTCGTGTATATGGATTTGGATATGAAATGATTGCGGTAATGAGTGTGATGACAACAACTTCAGTGACTGGATATTGGCCAAGTCTGCTTGATTTACGATAACGGCACCAGTACAAATTTGCTCTTATGAAAATTGATCCAACGACACCCTATTTTATCGAATAAACAAAAATGAAATATTGATTGTCATTTTGACGGGTAATCACACTTACGCCCATGATGCCAAGTGCCACAAACGGCACCAATTCGAAAAAGATCCACGGTTTATGATATTCAACAAAGAATAAGACGGTGTGCTCATTACCAAATGGATTGATTGATCGTAAAACGAAAGCGGCAATAAGCGCACAAAAGAATGATCTCCATAATGTTTTCATTGGGAAATAATAGGAAACTTCTTCCAAACTAAACAAAACACCACCGATTGGTGCGCCAAAAGCGACTGATACACCGGCGGCAGCAGCGGCTGATAAAATTTCACGTTTTTTTGCTTCATTACGTCCATATTTCGGAAATAGATATGATAAAATATTGCCTGTATGCATGAAAAAAAAAATCGAAAGAAAATCAATTAATATTTTGCATTAAAATGATGTTTGATATTTTTCCAAATAGAGCCAATTCAAAATGCATACCAATACAACTAGCGATATGAACCATTGGGCCTTCTTTTCCCAAACATAAACCAGCCGATACTGATAACATCAGACCGACCGACTTAATGATTAACGTCCACTTTCCTAAGTAACTTCGAATAATGAAGCCGGATAGAATTGTTTTAATTTCAGGTATACCCGAACCGCATGCATATGGTGCAAACATTCGTACGAGTGACGCACTTAAAAACGCAAAGAATAACGCCCACATTGTATAGAAAATATATGAAATTATATAAGCACCTACTCCCTCCCGTGAGCTTCCCATCACTTCAGACCATGTGTACCACTGCGCGAAATAGAAAAAAAAACAAATTGAATCGTAAATTAATCGTCATAACAATTGATTTAAGATTAGAATAAAAAGTGATGTACCTGTGAGCAATTTCCACTGTCGAATGTTGTTTCGTTTGATGACCAACAACATTGTTCGCGATTTAACCAAAATGCTTGCGGACAAATACCTAATTTTAAATCTGTCATCCAACTTGCGCCAATGTCAATTATACCAGCTACACAGCCTGAAAATATACCAACGAGAAGTACACACACCCATCCCGACCATGCATCATGTGCACCCTGAAAATCAACACACAATAAATCACATTTAAAGACACGCTTGCATTTCATTTAACAGAATGGAATGTTGCAAAATAACTCACCTTCAAAAAATCCCATACAGAATCTTGAATCTTTTTTACTATGTATCGATGTCGCATACGATCGCGTGCTATATCACGCTGCCAATCGATTGTGTGAAAATCTTCATATTGCCCAATCCCTGGAATATCATCACCATCTACATTTTCAAATAAAAAACCAATTCAATTAATCACAGTTCGAAGAAGCGAATTATTAACTGAAATGATTGAGAATATTTTATTCGCTCACCTCCACTACTGCCATAAAATAATATGCTACCTGAAAAATTGAGGAAAAAGATGTCGCATTTAGTTGAGATTTTAAATTAATTGGAATTTTTCAAAAATATATATTTCGGTGTAAAAGTGTGATGAATATGGCTGATTATTTGGTCTGATCACCGATTTATTTGAATTAACTGATCAACAGAAACCAGAAAGATAAGAATTCTTATCTGAATGCCCTATGCTGCACGAGGAGTTAAAGAAAATAATAAAATAAAATATTTGGTCTCATTTTCTAGATGTTTCCTAAATTTTCAAGTAACAGCACTTTTTCATTACCATAAGCAAATTATGTATAATAGTAGCGTACATCAAATGCAAGCTTGCTACTACTAGTATTGCTGATGGTTACAAAATTTACATTTTGTCCGAGCAACAAATGTAGTATCGCAGTGGCATTAGGGCTCATGTAACTAAACGGAATTGACATTCAATGTTATAAAAGACAGTTTCAAATTCAATAAACAGCTAATAAATAATATATGACATAAAGTAAGTATAAAACCTCGGAAGCGAAGCGAACTCTTTACAACACTAAATGTTTATACATAAAATGAAATAATTGAAAGAGTCAGTACTGAATGCATTCAACGGATGCAAAGAGGAAGTAAAAACAAAGCAACACCAATCATATTAATGACATAGAACCAACATGGTTCAAGCACGAAACTTTATACATTCACGACGCTTATTTTCTCCATCAAAAAGAACACTGCCGTTAATTGTTTTAGATAGAAATGCAGTTATCACCGCATTTGAAGCGATATTAGTCACTTGTTGATAGTCTATATTATTATTATTTTTAAATGATTCACATTAGTTTTACGTTTATGCTACGTGCCATTTCAATAAATTTCAATGCGATCAACGATGTGCCCAATGACATACGTTATGACTACGATTACTTGAAAAAGTGTTACCATAAAAATTGTTCTCTCACATACTTAATGATTCCACAGATGTTCTTCTGGGATTGGCTAACTTCCTCACGGCATTTACAACATCCATTTAAATGGATTTTAGTCATCTAGGCGTATTGTGTAAATTTTACACTATCACAGTTATAATACGGAATTTGTCAATTACACATGAATTTTTTGAACGAATCAATGTTATCACAAATAAAGAGACCTCAAATGTTAATTTTTTTACTACTTCTGTCTCCTGCACACAATCATATACTATCACAAAAATGATTTGTCACTTTTTCGGTCTCAACAAAAAAAAAATGTGGTTTTTTTGACTAGTCAATATATTTGCTGTTTTACGTACACAAACAAACACATAATTCTGCTGAATCAGAAAAAAATTCGAAATTGTTTTAAATTAAAAGTTTCATAATAAAAATAAAATCATTTACACAATAATTGGGTTCAATAACGACGACGACAAAGACGCAATTAAAATGAAATTTATTCAAAATTCTAATTTGAATGTTGTCTCCACTCGGCGCTTATCAACTACGAAATATATTGCGTGTGTCAAAAATGACTTAACAATATTTCCAGCTAAATTGATGAGATAAAACGCATCAAACTATACAGGAAACCAACAACCCAAACTTTGAGAAACACGACAAATTTAACTGTTAATGATTATAACAGCGCGTATCGTACAAACACACCGATTTCTTTTATCTGCTTTTGTTTTTCACTAGTTTCAAATGTATACACACTTTGGTGGTTTTTCATCGCATTTGATGTTGGTGGTGTGCTTTTTTTCATTTTGCGTCTGTGTTCGAATCATTCTTTTTTGACAAAAATAAAAAGTACAACAATTTAATCCGTAAGCATATCAATGGGGCAATTAATTTTGAAAACACGAACGTCAAAGATCGAACGAATTTTTTGTAAAACATTTTATGGCCGATAAATGTTTACCACAAATGCCTAAGTATTTGTGTAGAACATTAGATTTATTGGTTTCTATGTAATTGTGAGACAAAAAAAGAAGAGAAACGACTAGCACTGGAGAGTAACATCTATCTCGTTAATGCCAGTTCCCTCTCACTCTTTCTCTCTTTCTTCGTTCATTCGAGAGCATCATTACACTCAATAATTCAGCATGCAAAGTGATTTCTTGTGTGCGAATAGCAACAATGAATAAATCATCATTCGTTCGTCATGAAATTATATTGCATTGAATTTTTACATACATTTAATAGAAACAGTGTTATCATTTACTCTTGAATTGTATCTAGTGGTATGTGTGCATTTGTTTTTTTCATATGTCTCGATTTGAATGTGCAAAAAGAGGCGTTGGATCAACCGATTTTATTGTCAAATATTTAGTAGCATTATAGTCATAACATAATACATGTATTGTTTTAATTCACTCTTTTTGACCGATATCATAGTCCGTGCACATTTTCAATTTTGAAAAGCATCAATTTGCAGCTCAATAAACTAAAAACAATTGAAATTTTGAAAATTATTATATGCACAAAACAAATCGACGCTTGTTTGACTCAACCAAAGGTTGTTAAAAATGTTCTGTGCTGAAAAACAAACAAATGGGAATTTCCCAATCAATCATTTTGAATGTCTCAACGTCTTGAATGGTCAACAATAGTTAAAACGTTTTGTTTGAACAAAATTGAACGGAAGAAACACTTTGCACCACAAAATTACTTTGAAAAATTGATTGACTTTGAACGTGCTTTTGACTTGGCTACAAATTCCACACTCTTTCTTTTCACTTGACTCAAAATATATCTGATTTGAATTCGGATGTGCTCTTTTTTCTCAAGTCTCAACGTTATTGACGTTGGATTAATCAGGTGTGTATTATTTCGATAAACAACGGCCAGAGTAAAACAAAAATACACACGAAACTCACAATTAAACATTCAACGCGTCATAATTAAAACATTCTTTGCATGAATAAAATATAAGTCGGAATCAATGTTTGCATTTAAAAGAATAATAATACAAAATCCCATTATTCATTAAAATTCACATGAACAATTAACGTTTAATAAATAAATTTATCTTTATTGTATATACAACGATTACTGAAATTATCTCGTTGTTTCCACCACTCCAATCTACATGTTCAGATGACTATGCATGCTGTTTAAATGACATTAATTTTATCAACTTTTCGATATTGTGCACAAATATATGCACGGATTTTAATTTTTGTTTAAACATTCAGAAACAAGTCAAATCAGCACGTCGAATACAGTATCACACATCATTTTGTTGGAGAACACAAACTTTGACTAAATGATTATAACTGTTCACTATAATGTTTCATTTATTCGGGCTAAATATGTCGATCTTCTCTAGTGACAAGGTCGTGACGTTAGTTTCACAAAATTAGTGATGATGGTGCTGTGCAATTATTCTGTTTTTAAAAAAATTTGTTTTTTTTTTCTTATCAACCGGAATTTATTCTCAATTCACAGCACAAACGGGAAACCGGTATATTTGTATTGATGTCCACGAATGTCAAGTGTTATTTCCCATTTGTGTGGCACATCGATCGTCGCCTCAAATATACTGATCATAATGTAGAAATGACTACGGTTCGTAAGGTGTCGTTGCTTTAGTTGGTAAGTAACTTTTGTGCCTACTTAATTACTCATTGAAGTGCCATATCATTTAAAACATAACTGTCATGCTGTCGAATGGAGTACAGCATTGATTTTGTATAAATAATAAATGTTGTCGATAGATTTGCGGATAGAATTCTATGAAGCACGTCATTCAAATTCGTGGAATAAGCTATCGATTTGTGTATAGAATCCAGCTTTTCATGTTTATTTCATAAAATTTTCTTAACAATTGTAATATGAACTGTACTAACTCAGTATCCGTTTCGATGAATATACTATCAAATTGCATTATTATCATTTCTCTTCATCGTAGTGCACTATATATATAATTTAACCAATACGATAAAAATGAACTGCAAAATTGTTTCTGTTTCAGAAAAAAGTCTCGGAATTGAGTCCCATTGTCGATGAGTTGTTCATGGTAATTAAAAAGAAAAGATGTGCGACAGAGAATCGATAGAATAGTTTACCTTCGGCATCGTTAAGTTCCCGGTCACGTGTGTATGAGCTACTATGATGTATCGGTGAATTATCTTGTCGTTCATAATTTGTTCCCATTGCTGACGAATAGTTTTGATTACGTGGCGTGATATCGATCATGTCATCATCCACGGACGGTATTGATAATGATGTTGTATTTTGAAGTTTGCGATTCCCGTTTAATGCCTAAACATATGACCACAACATAGAATAAAAAATATCAACAAAAAGAGAAATTTAATCATAAGTTGTAAAATGATTTATTCAATACAATTGTTATTTATAAAATAAAATTTAAAAAAAAATCTAGGTGAATGACGTGAACGCAAACGAAAAAAAAAGAATAAGAAAAAATTAGATGAACTGTGTGGTCGAATGTGTTCTTACCATTTTTTGTACTATACTTATTTTAAAACTTCATTCAAGCATTTTAAATATCCAAAATGATTCGACACCCAAATATCCAAAATGAGTGATGGCGATGTGATTTATCTTATTTTGTTTACATCAACAGTCTTTGAGCAAATTCACTTGTTCAGACAAAATACATAATAAAATCGTTCAGTTTGCACCACAGCAATTTGTAATACACAATGTGAACCAAAAGAATTCTGTAAATCGAAAAAAATTATGATTGCGATTCATACCGATTCACCGTGGTGCCGGCGTGTTTTTATTTCGGTAATACATATACAATCAAAATACATAGATATAAAGAGGGAGTTATATGGTTTGGTGCGTTCACATTTAAATAAACCAAAAAAAGAGAGAAAAGAAAGCGGAATACTACTGTTAGTCACATGACAACCGCCGAATGTGTGCACAAAAAGAAGAGGCGAATGAAAAAAAAAAAACAATGAACCAAAGTTGCACGTGAACAAAAAATACCTATATATATGTGAAGTGGGGAACTTGTGCAACCATATGGAAATATGCGTCAACAATATGATCAATGTACATATATAAAACAGAAAAACCAAAAGAACTACTAATATAGCTAAAGAAGTGCAATTGGTAATATGGCATATGATGAATGAAAATTGCGCAAATTAATTAATTTAATTTAATTTTCATGAATAATTCAATATTAATAGAAATTTCCATGGATATGATATGATCTTATTTTAAAATTAACATATTCAATGATTGAATATTCAAACAAAACATACAATAATCATTATTGAACATGTATCGATATAGAACTATTTCATTCTCCAAAATATTCCATTGACACACATTCTCGTAAAATACCAATTCTCATGAACATACGCACGTCATTTGAAGAGGAAAAAAAGGGAACATAAGAGATATTCTCGTGCCATAAACATGCTCTTGCGAATATTCAATGTTTTAACCGAATGTAATTGAGACACGAACTAGAATGAAACAAATGAAAGATGACACACACGCACACACACTATTAAATTGGAATCAAAACAAATGTAAATATGGAAATGAACCGGTGCTTCTAAGGCTACATCACACATAAAACAAATCAAACCGACGATAGAAAATACTCTAATTATATTGTGACTAAAAATGAAACAACAAGTGAAACAAAAGCATATGGCATCTAAATTCTTACTTTGAATCACTCAAAAGTGACTTGATTTCTTTTTTGTATTGAATTACAAAAACATTTAACACATACCAAACGATCGATTAAAAAACAGTCTTTATTTACAATCCGTCATTTTTATCAGGCAATAATAATTGAATTTTTCTGACAGTAAATCTAAGTGGCAATTTTTTGTTTTCAATGCTACAGACCAACTGCGCAAATGTTTAATCAGAAATAAATTCGTTATTATTGAGACATCAACACAATAGAATATTCGAAAGAATATAGCGTCTTACACATACATTTGAGATAATTTAGACGTATGCCTTCTTTCCGCATTCATTCACAAACAATAATTTATTATAATACATTTCGGACCAAGTGTCCAATCGAAATAGATACGAGTAAACGTGTACAAATCCGATGCTTGCATAAGCGATGTTTTTTAATGATAACTTTTAATTGACATCGACCGAATTGAAATATTTGAATAAGCGAGGATCGTCTTGTTGAATGCGTTCTCATAAATATGTGTTCTAATATGATGATGTATTAACATGATATGATGAATGAAATGAATGAGACAAACGTTACCTTCTTGCTAACTGACTGATATGTGACACCAGTACTGCTATTCCCGCTACTACTGCTTCCAATCGAATTTTTATTTGAACTGCCAACCAATGATTGCAAAGCTATTGACTTGTTAGTGCCTTTCAATGGATATTTTTCCATTTTTTATCTAAACCGGCAGCTTAGCAAATTACAAACTACACCCGCCCTCTCTATCTGTATTCGGGCCTTTATTTTAGCCAGTCTTGTGCAAGCGCAATCGGGCGATGTGAGTATTGAAATTGTCTACTTTTTGTGTTGCTGTTGTAGAAAATCGTTCATCAAAAGGAATGTCTTGGTGTCACACCGCCACAATACACATTTATACCCTTTTCTGATCTTTCTTCGTTTTCCCTGTTTGATTTAATTAATTTCATTTAAGCGCGTTGATGATGGTGATGATATGATTATGGTGATGGTTGCATTTCATAGATCAAACTTTATCGTGTGTTTTTTTTTCTACAAATTTAAAACCAAAAGAATCGTAAAACATAAAAATCAAAATATACTACATAATGGTCGACATAAACATTTAGAATTCAATACAAATTTGCCATATTATTTTCGCTTCAAGTATACAGAGCTACAAATGATATTAGTGTCATTGATTACTCTTTCGAAATTAATGAAACAAAAAAAAAACAAACACCGAGCAAATGGAATCCATACAGTACATGTGCATTGGCATTAAACTTTATTATGCTGCAATCAACAAGAAAAAACACTATTGAACTGGTTGAACACGAGACAAAAAGTATGCGTGTGCTTGAATGTATGTGTGTACAGTACGAGTTATTTGAATGAATTGATGATACATAAACATTTATTTTCGTAAATGAATGAGAGATTGAATGACACGGCACACAATTCAAAAATTCACACATGTATTCTTTTCATCAATTCAATAATGTTTTCTTATCAAATTCTATGTCTATGTTTGGTGCATCGTTTGTATTAGACTAAGAAACACAAATAATAAAATGCCAACAACAACAAAAAAAACTGCAACGTTTTACATTATTATAGTTTTCACAAACCACCTTTGTTCTTTGTTAATCATTTTTATTTACGTCAAATAATAACACTGTCGTATGTATCAACGAAAATTATAATTGATTTTTGTGTGATTACTTTCTCTTTAAAAATAAATTTGTGGCACAAACAGACACACACATATACACATGCGAACGAAAACGGAATTTAAAGCATCTGACTGACTGAATTTAATTCATCATGCATTCGCCCAATAGCACGGTTAGTTAATTAGATGATTAGATTTTTTTTTTTCTTCATTTTGAACGGCTTTTGAATGCTCAACTTGATAATCCCATTTTTCCTTCACTTACGTACGTAAAATCAACAATTTTCATTGATGAAATGCATTTGACGAATGTCGTTTGCTTGTTCGCTTTTGCTCTCTCTTTCACAATTTCTCACAATGCAGTTATAATATTTCGTTTTCTTCTTTAACAATCAATATTCGAGCGAACAATTTGAGTCGCTTGTCTCACAATTTTCACTATGATTAGATAAAAATGAAGCACTTTCAATGACAATAACAAGACATAAAAAACAAAGATACGAAGAAAAATGGTTACAATGATGGGATTTATAAGGTGCAAAGAAAAAGAAATATGTATTTACGAGAAATTGAACTCCAAAACAAAAATCAGATCAAAGATATTGTGTTTTTGACGTTTCAACTTGATGATTTGTTTTATTCCATTCATTGATAGAAGCGGCCGCCCTCTGGTGGCTGTTCAATTGAAGTATAGATGATGCATACAGAGACACCGAAGAAGACTCGTAAATATATCTAAATTTTTGATATTTTTTTCCGTTTATGACCAATTTTAAAATCAAACTGAAAATAAAATGTTTTAAGGTGTTCGATCGACTTTTTGTTTGTGTCAAATCACATGTATAAACCATATATTCAGCCGGTCAGATGTTTTATAAATGAAGAAACATCTGAAAAGTCTTATGGTTTTTCTGGTCTGAAATATTCGAATTAAACACAAGTGTCCACATATGAAAATCAAGTATACGTCTCAATTACTTTAGTCCAGTAGAGATGATGGCGAGATTGAAAATAGCAAATGCGAAGATTTATTCTTATACAATATAATTTACATTATGTGTATATCAGCATGTATCCTCTTACATCTGCAAGTGACATGTTTCAATGAGCAAATAAAATGAAACATAAAGAATGCGTAAGTTTCACATACTCTCAAGCATTTGATAGGATGTACTGCAACTGAAAGTTGACATTAGTGCGCGGCCATAGAACTTCAATTATCTTAGAACAAGGGCTGTCTTTATCAGCTTCATAACATGAAGATGTAAGGAAATACACAATGAAATGGGATAACGATAGAGTGATTCGAACTCTTCGATCACTTTTCATCGGATTGTCATGATTACGCGGTGGTTTTAAGTTTATCTAAGTAGGACAACGAATTATAACAGGTACACATCAATTTCGTTGAGATAATATTTGACCACATGCTGAGTTCAATTGACGGTAAATAGAAAAAATGCAGTCGGTTCATGTATATTTCGATATGAATGCATAATCATGTTCGTATTTAAATTGTTATTTACAAAAGAAAATACACTCGGTTCTTACGTCGATTGTTTTCTTCTGCGTCACCAGAACCAGGATTCTCTGCAAGCTTATTCAGTATAAATTGACGATGCTCAGCAAAGAAACCATTAGTTCTCGCTCGGTCTCGACAAAATCGCAAGGAAAAACGAACAAACGGAATTATTTGAAAGTTTTCTACTTTGGACGAACTTTACTTTCAAATTAAATACGCTATTTATTTTCAATTGTATTGTGTTAAATTCGATTGTGCACAATTTTTTTTTAAATCGCAAAATGGCAAAATTATCCGTATTTTCTCTTTTGATTATGTTATACGTGCATTATTGCTTTGGCCTACGCACCGACGACGAATTATACCTTGAAGACGAAGTACATTTTCATTTTATAATTAATCTTTTGAAGTTTGCATAGTATTTAATTTGAAAAAGAAATTATATTATTTTTTTACAATAAAAATTGAGAGATATTTAATTAAAAAATTTAAAAAATTAAATTAAAATATTAAAAAAAAAAATAAAGAATTAATTTGATATTTTTTTCTATTTCTTTTTTTTAAATGTCCAGTTTCCCAGTTCAATCAACAATTTCTTTTTGATGATGTCCCGTCAACCGATGCACAAAATCTGTGCATTTATTAAACATCCATATCACATGAAAGGAACTTCAATTCAAACAAGCAAACGAAATTCGGAATTAATTAATTCATTGCTGAGCATACCAAAGCAGATGAACGATGCAGGCAAATAAATTTCAACTACGAATGACAACTTAATTTTCGGATTTTGGCATACCTTCCCGCCCCAACTCTCGCTCCAGTGACTAGCAGGCTCAACATGTTTTCTCTTTCTATATATGATCTGTTCAATTTAAACATACCATGCATACTCAATGCGTAAAGGATCTGTCTAGTTTTGTGATTTTTTTAATTGTATTTATTTTTCCAGTACCAATTTTTTTAGTTTAAGCATATTACACACACATGTTTTTTTGTTAATCTGTGTTTAGTTAAGTGGAAGAGAACTTCATTCTCTGCACTATAACAAAGAAAATTATAAAACATTTTTATGATAACCTCTGTCCGAATTGTTCGTTCATGTTTTTTTAGTGTAAAAATGTAATGTGCGTTAAATAAAATTAACTGCTGTAATTATGGGATGTTTTAAATAAATGTTACCGATTGATATAACCGAACAAAAGTTATTGGGCTTTCTTTTGCTATTATTTTTTTATTTAATTTGAAATTTAATTAAAAAAATGTTTGAAAAATATATTACAGTATATTTTCACTAGAATAAGAAAACTTGTTTAATTGTTCATAAAAAAAATCTTAATAGTGCCATTAACTGAGTGTTTATCGTGGCTATTTCCCAAAAATGGTTCCGATAAAGCTGATTCCCAATGTGATCAACGCATTTTTCATAAATAACTGTGTGTGCAACTTTGAAAAAGTAACCTGATTCAATTTATATATACATTATCACATTGGTGCATAATTTTGCTGAATCATAATAAGAACTCGAAAAAAAATTGAAAAAATTGAAAAAAAAAAAATCAAGCTTCAATGTGAATTCAATATTTGAAAATTTTTCATGATTAAAAAAAATCCTGCTAAACATTAAAAAAATGACGAATTAAAAAACATGTGAGTTTTTTTTGTTTTAATAAACAATTTGAATCGATTTTGTTAATTTATTGTAAAACTGATTTTCTGAATACAACAAAAATAAATTGCTATGCAATAGCAAAGATGCAATCGAATCAAAGTTCATGTAAGGGGGCGTGTAATCTATTCTTCATCTTCTTCTTCACCGGCACCGCCACTGTTTTGTCCCTTCTTCATGTTCTTGCGCTTTACACGTCCTGGACGACCTTGACCGAATGGTGATTTGGTCGAGAAGTCAATGTGTTTTTGCGAATCCAAACGAACGATGAATGATGGGATGTTGACGACTTGTTTGCGAACGCTAAATAAATGAAGAAAAAAAAAACCAACGATCTTAATATATTTCATCAAAAATCAGCACTAAATCATTGATTGAAGAGGTCTATAGGTGAATTTTTGTTTTGATTACGTGGTACTTACTACACAACCAAATGCATCAGATGTAAAATCTGTTGCAAGTGCGCTTAAGGCGTTAAACATCGACTCGATATCGAATCAATGTTTAAGTGGCCTTCATGACATAACTGACACTGAGCCATTTTGTCTGCAGTTTGGTTGATGTTTCACATCTTATGCAAATATCTCGAACTATCAGACGTTATGTGCTTCATATGACCGTGCACATATGTGCAAATCACACGAATGTGTGATTCAATGTTGAACGGTCTCAGCACAAAAGTGGCCTAATTGATATTTCATTTTGTGTGTTGCTTCCACGTGCTTTTACATTATAAAATGCATGTTGCTTGTGATATTTACCGAATGTGTCTTTGACGGATCAATACACGGGCATGATGAATGGATTTGGCCAATCCAAGTTTGAAGACTTGGGTTTGGAGACGACGTTCCAAGAAATCTTCAATTTTCAAACCCAACACGTAATCGAGTTTCATGTGTTGTTCATCCAACACACCGATACGAACCAAACGACGCAACAAAGCGTTACCTATTATCAACAAAGAAGGAAAAAAAGAACATATTCAATTGACATTATTTGCAAAATTGTACACATAAATGGAAATGGTAAGCATATCTCAGATTATTAAACATTTAAATTATTATCACCATGGCTCGTCTGACAAGAGGTGTCATAAATGTTGAATCATCACAAAATTTAATTCACATGCATGCACATATCAAGGATCACAAAACCACAACGTTTTAACTCACAATGGAAAATTGATTTGAACATTTTTGTACATACCTTGGAACAAACGTTTCTCATCTTTCTCTTCGAGGGTCAACAATTCACGAGCAGCTTTACGGATTTTGGCCAATGTATACTTTACACGCCATACTTCACGTTTGTTTCTCAAACCATATTCACCGATGGTTTTCAATTCTTGGTCCAAACGAACCTTTTCGTATGGACGACGTGGTGTGACATAGGTCTTTGAGAAGACCGATGGAATGCGGCCGTTAACCATTTTTACTAATGTTTATCTGTAAGTGAATAAAACACAAAAATTATTAATTGGCTTAAAACACATTTGTAAATCACATGCGAGGCATATGATGTTTTTATAGGTTATATTGTTCGATATGAATGGATGAATGTAACCGGGCTTATAAAATTTATAAAAATATCTTCAAAAGATATCAAAATTACTAATAAATATATTAATAAAACGATAGAAGCATCATCCGTACAAATGACTGATATAAAATAATTGAAAAAGTTCGTCAGATGACGGAAAATAATTCGAATTAAATTTATGAATGAAATCGATGATTTGAGTATCACAACTTACCACGACGGTGTTTCGTGCGAAAAGAAAGATGTCAAATTTGTACTGCGCTGGTATCGCCTTACAATAGTCAAAATGGAAACATTCAAAGTGACTGTCAGTGAGATAGAATGCTAGTCTTGGATGCGTTCAATGCCGTTTCACCGCTTTCCATTCAATTCCAATTTGAATGGATAATACAGTAGAATGGAATGAATGACAAATTGGAAATTGCTGGCAAATCACTACCTATCTATTTTTTGAAGAATATAGTTTTTTTTTTGTGATTTCGCAATAAAAAGAAATGCAATAAAAAAAAATTCGAAAAAAGAAGAAATCGAAATTCAATACAAATCAGAAATAAAATTAAATAAATCGCATCGATAGTATGATATGTCATTGAACACCGCATGTTGAATACATAATCAAGAACATTGTGAATGAGCGCTGCTGTCGCGTATCAGCTCATAATTTTTCACATACCTTGTGAGTTTTTTCACTTGAGAAGCTGTCATTGTTCGCGAAGTCGGTGATAGTTACACAACTCAATTTTCGACATACAATCCACCATCTTTTTTTCCTTCGCTAGAAGTGTGTGGTACGGTTATATAACTCAAGAACATTTTTTAACATAAAATAAAAAAAAATCATGTCTGCATTGACACGAATGGCCACAATTTTGGCACGCCAAGTGCCAAAAACAACTGGACAAGTTGCCATTAAATCCGCATCTCCAGCTGCCGGAATTGCTGCACGCAAATTCCACGTATCATGCAATCAACGTGCCGCCGAAATCTCATCTATTTTGGAGGAACGCATCCTTGGTGCTGCACCAAAGGCCGATTTGGAAGAAACTGGCCGTGTATTGAGCATTGGTGATGGTATTGCTCGTGTATATGGTTTGAATAACATTCAAGCCGACGAGATGGTGGAATTTTCATCGGGTCTTAAGGGTATGGCATTGAATTTGGAAACCGACAATGTTGGTATCGTCGTCTTCGGTAACGATAGATATATCAAGGAAGGTGATATTGTCAAGCGTACTGGTGCCATTGTCGATGTACCAGTTGGTGACCAAATTTTGGGCCGTGTCGTTGATGCCTTAGGTAATCCAATTGATGGCAAAGGTCCATTGGGTACAAAACAACGTTTCCGTGTCGGAACCAAAGCTCCAGGTATCATTCCCCGTGTATCTGTGCGTGAACCTATGCAAACTGGTATCAAAGCCGTCGATTCATTGGTGCCAATTGGTCGTGGTCAACGTGAATTGATCATCGGTGACAGACAGACTGGGTAAGTATCTATCCCTTTTAATTTCATATTCATCATCAACAGCAAGTGTATCAAGAGAATAATAGTTTTTTTCAAGTCATAAAAATTAAAAAGAAAAAAAAACTTTACCATTAGACGATCATATAACACCGTTATATCATTATTACATAACAGCTGATTATTATTATTGTTATTGACAGAATATGTAATAACAAAGGTCAAACCATCAATTAATGAGATGCTCATAATTTTTCTTTTCATTCTATATTATTTATTTATTTTTCATTAAAGTAAAACCGCTTTGGCCATCGATACCATCATCAATCAACAACGTTTCAATTCAGGCCAAGATGAATCAAAGAAATTGTACTGTATCTACGTTGCTGTCGGACAAAAAAGATCAACCGTTGCCCAAATTGTAAAACGTTTGACTGATAGCGGTGCTATTGGTTATACCATCATTGTATCAGCTACTGCATCAGATGCCGCCCCATTGCAATACTTGGCCCCATACTCTGGTTGTGCCATGGGTGAATACTTCCGTGATAATGGCAAACACGCTTTGATCATCTATGACGATTTGTCAAAACAAGCCGTTGCCTACCGTCAAATGTCATTGTTGTTGCGTCGTCCACCAGGTCGTGAAGCTTATCCAGGTGATGTCTTCTATCTTCACTCCCGTTTATTGGAACGTGCCGCTAAAATGTCAAAGGCTCTTGGTGGTGGTTCATTGACCGCTTTGCCAGTTATTGAAACACAAGCTGGTGATGTATCAGCTTACATTCCAACCAATGTCATCTCAATTACTGACGGTCAAATCTTCTTGGAAACCGAATTGTTCTACAAAGGTATTCGTCCAGCTATTAATGTCGGTTTGTCTGTGTCACGTGTCGGTTCAGCTGCCCAAACCAAAGCCATGAAACAAGTTGCCGGTTCAATGAAATTGGAATTGGCCCAATATCGTGAAGTCGCCGCCTTCGCTCAATTCGGTTCAGATTTGGATGCAGCCACCCAACAATTGTTGAACCGTGGTGTTCGTCTTACCGAATTGTTGAAACAAGGACAATACGTACCAATGGCTATTGAAGAACAAGTATGTGATAATCATTCCATTTGCATTTCATACATGTGACTAGCCCCATCGATTCTCCGTATATTTATGTATATCTTTTTTAATTTCTAGGTTGCTGTTATCTTCTGTGGTGTCCGTGGATACTTGGACAAAATGGATCCATCAAAAATCACCAAATTCGAAAAGGAATTCTTGCAACACATTAAGACCAACGAAAAGGCGATGCTTCAACAAATCTCAGCCGATGGTCAAATCACCGATGCCACAAACACTAAACTCAAGGATATTGTCACCAAATTCTTGAGCACATTCTCTGCTTAAGCAGCATTCAAATAATTTCTCTTTTCTTTCGTATTTTCGCTGAGAAAATTCTATCAACAACCTCTTAAACAGAAACACATTTAATGTATTTACAACATCAACAAAAACAACAACAGCCAGAATTTTAAGTAAAACCAACAAAGTATGTAAAAAATCAAATTCAAGTGGAATGCTTTTTATTTTAATTTTCAAATTTTTAATGATATGAAATGAAACCAACATCCATCTTGTCCCCAGTTTCAATGTATAAAACTCAATGTCAATTCTTTTATTCAGTAAAATTATAGACATGTTAAGTTGCAAGATCCTATTAGCGAATATATGGCTTGGATTTTGGGATTGGTCGCCAGTTGTTTCAACGCAAAAATAAAATCACTGAACAACCACAAAATCTAATGAGAATACATACACAGGAACAAGTAAATATCGAGCGAACGAGTCATAACCAAGTGAAAATTAATTTTCATAATTCGAAACTTATTGTTCAACATAAAGTTATAAAAATTTAAAAAAAGTAATCGAAAAAAATAAACAATTGAAAAAATCTAAAAAAAAAAATAAAACACATTTGTTTTTAGAATTTAGTATCATGTGATGATCTTTATTTCGTTATGTAAGATTCTTAAATTGATTTTCATCTATATTTTTTTTGCTATTCAGTTGAAAATTCGGTGTTTTGAATGTGAGAATGTGCACATAGTTTAGTAATTTAATTTCGATCATTCATTCAACTCGTAATTTCGGCTGTTGAAATGTGAAATGAGAAAAAAAGAACGTAATGATTGTGTGTTATGTCATACAGTAATAATATAACATAACCACGAATTTAGTTGTTGCGGACGAACGGATGGACAGAAAAAGGGCAAAATACCAGTATGGATGAATACCAAAAATGGCATTACAAATACATTTATACATACGATGCATGTCTAATAAATTTCAATGAAAGGAAAAATAATTGACCGGGACAAATGAATGAAGAAAACAGAAAATTGCCCTATTGTATTCATGGTCATTAAATTTTGTCATTTAAATTAGGTTATTCACCACGATTTTGCCGACACAATTACGTTGCGTTTTATGTTGAATTGAGAGAAAAGATATGGATGGGTGCAAAATAGTGCATATATATATATATATATCTTGTGTGCGTGTGTCCATGTGCAAAACAGAGACAGAACACACACACACACCATCAGCATAGTAAGATGAAGAAGACAATTTTACAAAGCAAGAGATATACTCGTACCGAGTATATTATATTTTTCCCCAGATCCGCATTTAAAGTAGAGGTATGATGCGCTGTACATCAACAACAACAACATTTTTCACCAAACATGTTAACGAAAAATATACGCAAACGAGCACCGTACATATAACTGCGCGGAAGCGATCGGCAACGAATCGCTTCGAGCCGTGTTTGAAAATCGGTTTTCTCAACGGCACGATATTGATCACCAATCACGAAAATGCCGAAACAAAAATGTGTGTATATGTGTCTATGTATCAGATTGATCGAAGCATTAAATACATAGCAACTCAAAGTAAAATAAAATGCTTCAATTGATAACTTATCATTATATTTTGATGTTCACCTCTAATCCTTAACCCTTAAGCCGAAACTAAATATTATCTAGCTAGCGCGCAAGGAAACGTTTTTTTTTTGTCTGATGTTGTTCTTCAAATAGACAAAAAAGTCCATTTATTATGATGTTTATTCTGAAAGAAAAATCTAATTTTCTCTGACGCTGTTCTGTTTTGCATATGCATGTATTTAATTCAAATTCCATGCCGACAACTTTGAGTAAGAGAGATAGAGAGAAACTGCTGCGTAAATCTTACAATATATACAATTTTCTTGTCTCAGTTGTTGTTGTTGTTTTTTTAATGCACGAAGAGAATTTTGTTTCTATCGCATTTCGCAAAATCAAGCCAGCGATGAGTTTGTGTATGCGTTCATTTGTTTGTGTCCGTATATGTGTCGGGCTAAAAAGTATATGAGGTATGCAATAATAAATCATGGGAAGCGGAAAGCGCTAATCTAATATGTATAGAATTTTATACACAACTACATATGCGAAACAGAGTTTTGCATTCAATCGCTTTCTCGCCCCAAAACGTGAGCTCGCACTCCAATGCAAACGAAGCACATTAGCGTGCAAGCATTAGGATTTTTCTTAAAGAATGGCCAACGCATACAAGCACCAACGTACAAACCGCATACACACAACGATTCTTGCACAACTTTCCATTTGGTTGTTGCTTTTCGTGATGTGAATTGAGTTTGGTGCGTTCTCCCTCTGTCTCCTTTTATTGGAATCCGATGCTGCTGGTTAATTTTACACACTCCCACACAAACTAAACGAGAAAAGAACAATATCGAGGATACATAATAGTATTCATACTACTACATAATATGCGACAGTGATATATGGGAAAAATGAGACGTTAAAAATGGCAAAGTTTTATTAAATATCACGTGAAAACACATTTTTTTTGGTTTTGTTTTGTTTTGTTTCGTCTTCATGATAATTGCATATCATTCTGAATTTATCTTGTTTGCAGTTCTTATTCTTATTCGTAAATGTTATGTGTTTTTTTAAGTCTGAATTATGGCTCATATAATGCAGTTGATATTCTTGTGCATTCAATTCGACAGCGGTATTACAGTTTAGAACGACTTTTCCAGCTTTTATTGGTTGCAACGAATATTTGTGCATTGAAACCTCATACCATCACAGCTAAATCTAATAAATTAGATTCTATGTATTATGTGTACGCCGTTGTATATAGAGTGGAAATTTATCGCTTGTGTCCACCGTCGTCGTCGTCGTCGTTTCTGCTGCTGGTATGATGTGTGTTTCTCTCTGTGTGTGCGTATGCCAAACAGAGAGACATACATGCACAGACAATGTATTCTTCTTTTTTCTCTGCACTAGCCACTTCGCTCGAACCTTCGATCGGAAGCTTCGAGTTCTATTCAGCGGTCGTCATTCAAAATAAATAGACATAGATTTGAGTCGGAGTTGTTTGTTCGCCTGTCCATACATATGTGTGCGCTTATGTAGAAGAATGAACGAAATACGAAAAATTAGTCGAGCGCGATATTAGTGTGCAAGTGTGTATGTGTCTCATATGTAAGAGAGAAAGAGAGCACCAAGATTGTGTAAGCTTGCAATTCTTGTTTTGTTGTATTGAATCAGTCGACTGACAGTTCAATTTACTTTTCAACGCCGTATTCCGTGCCGAATAAAAGATTTCTTATGCATGCGCTATTCCATTCTGTCTCTCACTCATTCATTTTATCTCCATTTCAATCATCTACATTCCTTTTCCATCTATTTATCTACAATTTTCTTTGTCTTTCTCACTATTTATCTCGCTTATACATTCTCGCAACAATCATTATCAATGTATATACAATACATGATTTTCAATGATCTAAATACATTCGGTTGCAACGCATTTAAATTGGCCATTGTTCGTTTTGAACCGTTCGCTCCTTTTATTACATGGTTCGATTCGTGATATGTCTTTTCCTTTCCTTCAGTCGCTGCCGCTCTTTACATTACACATTATATGTAGCACAAGCACTATGATGTACACAGCACGATGGAAATAAAGAGAAAAAAAAATAAAGTTTGTGCAATCAATACACACATTTATATATATAAACGTATATATATTACATATATATTGGCGTTGACTGATTCTATGTCTTACAACGTATGCGTGTGTGTATGTTAGCGCGCTTGTTTTACTCTTTAGATGTGTGTGTATGTGTGTTTGTATTTATGTGTGTAAGAGTAGCCGAGCCAAATGGATAATATAAGAAAACGAAGAAGAAAAATGTGTGTATGATTTTTCTTTTTAGCCGAGAGTTCAAAACAATACATACGTAGAAGAAAATAAAAATTCGACTATGTCCGCGCGCGTATTATATATGCATACACTCACATCTCATGTCTTTCTCTCTCTCTCTCTCTCTCGCTCGTTCCCTCGGTGTTTGTCTCTTGCTCTCAATACACGCATACATCTACACCATGATCCGTGATCCAACGCAAATGAATATATGTGTTCGAGTCTCTCTCTTTCATTCAAAATAAAATAGTAGCACAAGCATTGGCAAGACATACACATGCATAAAAGGAAAATTAATATGAAAAAAATTCAAACGAAGTGAATAAAAAAACGAACGAACGAACGAGAAGTAAAAAAAAATAAAAATACGCGAGATACACGCTAGTTCTAGTTAAGTGCACAGTGTGCGGAGAGACGAGACTCAAATGTATCACTAGAAATTATTACACACATTTTTTTCCGTTTGTGTCGCTGTTTTCGTCTTAATTTGTATTTTATTTTGTTCAGTTCAGATGTTTATTTGAGTTTGAGTTTTTTTCAAATATACGATCGTCGGTGTGTATAAGTGCGTAAATTAGTCTGATAATATTTCATCAGAAGTATAATCATCATCATCATCATCATTTAACCAACCAGCTTGTTTAAAGAAACGGGAAAAACTTCGAAATCCTTCAATGGAAAACATTCATTCGAAACATTGAAGTGAATGAAAACGACCATAGTGTTTGTATAGTGTATGGTAAATGATCAATAACCGAAAATTCTGTGTAAAAAGATAAAGTTTTGTGACACAAAATACGATTTATGAAAATCCTTATGTGCTAAAAACGAACATCACCAACAAAATATCAAGAATAGAGAAAACCGAGTTGTGCGTGCTTGTACTGCGAATATTTGGATTAAATTTTTAATTGATCCCCCCTCGATAAAAGATAGCAACGAATATTGTTGCAATTATCGAATTATTTGCGTATGCCAACAAGATTGGTGTTGGTGTTCAGTTTTTGTTTATACAAAAACAATATTCATGCGTTGTGATCGTCTTCAGTTGGATACAAATAGTTTTATATTCTCTGAGTGATACTCGAATTTTAAATTAAGTGCATCCATTTGTGTGAAGAAATTGAGGAAAAACAAGTCATATTCATGGCAACAACTGAATGAAGAAGGAAGAAAAGCACAACGTTTTTTTTTTTCATCAAGATATATACAAATTCACGAAGTGAAAAAAAAATCTTAAAGTAATAACATCGAGACACCGAGAAAGCAGAGCGTACAGAGAAAAACAAAACTATAACGCAGTGTTTTAATAAAGTGAATTAAACTAAATAAGTAAAAAAAATACAAGCAATTGGTAATTCCATGCGAAATCTTTTGCCGCGAGATAAAAACGATGTATTTACTTTTGGCTACCGTTACAGGTGCCTGTTTGTCCTGAAGGTATACCACAGCAAAGTCAATGAAATTTCCAAACCGATCAAAAGATTCATTGCAATTGCATGGTGTTGTGTTTTGTCGGCAAGAAATGACCCCTCCCAATCTCTTTGCACCGATTTCATCCTTAGTTCAATGTTCAAAATGTGCATTTAAGCGTTGATTCCATTGTTTCCGTCATTTTGAAACACCGTCAACACTCATTGATGGGGGGGCAGTGTTGTGGTTTTACCATTTAGTGTCATAATAAGATTCTCGCAAATCGATATTATTTGAGAAATGAAATTTCTCGGCAAGATTTCGTGTGGAATTGTCTGTGAGATGAATTGAGCGAAAAAGAAATTGTGCACGGGATACATTTGGTTTTGTTTGTTTGTGAAGCAATGAACGAGTGAAGTGAGTGCGTGTGTGTTTGTTTAGTTGCAAAGACCGCGAATATTATTCGCTCATTGAATGCGATATATTGAGAATTTGCTTCTGCTGCTGCTGCGACTGAACGTGTCTCTGTCTCAGTCTCTCTCTCTCCCTCTATGAATATATATTAGACACACGATAAAGTGTTTATATTGTTGTGCTTTTTATGAATGTTGAGCGCATTTCATTATTACACTCTACTATTATTATTGTTATTATCATTATTGTGTGTGTGTATGTTTTTTTTCTATTAATTTCATTTTATTGCTCTTGTCGAGCAATACGAGGAAAAACGCACACAATATAAATAAATTAGAATTGTAATTAACTAATTATGTTGTGTGTATTCCATATAATACATGCATACTATTCAATTCGTAATACAATTCCATGCATTTTTTTGAATTTTTCGTTTGTTATTGCTGTTGAATTTTTTTTGCTTCTTCTTCTTTCGAAATTCATATTGTTATGAACATAAATTTCATGTGCATGCAATTCAAATTACGGTGAAAAACCGATCTGACAACGCGCATTTCCAAATTTTAAATTTGAATTTGAATTCAGTTGGATTGCAAAAAGCTCTCTTTATCTCTCTCTTCCTATTGCTTGGCACACATAAATGCAATGCACTACATAAAACGGATAAAAATTCAAATGAATCATTCCACACAATTGTGTGCTCTCAATGTGCTTTAACGAAGCTCAATTCACTACCGTAAATATGGTCTTATTTTCTGTTTTCTTAATGTTTACTTAAATATGTGACAGTAAGAGAATTTTGTTCTATAAAATATTGTTGAACAGATACCACAAACAAAACACATGAACAAATTCCGATCAAAGCTAAACAAACAAACAAACAAATTGATTCGAAGAAAAAGAATTGCTTTTGCATGAAAATTTACCAATAATACTATATGGTGTGATCAATGATTAGAATGAAAGCTGAAGAAAAAACAATGAAATCTTGAAAGCACAAGATAACCAATAGTGGAGAAGAGTAAAGACTCAAGTAACAAATTAAAGTGAAAATAAGCAAAAAGAATAATTATTAAGGAATAAAATAAAAGAATTTAACCAAAACTACTAGAAGCAATCGACAGGCAGCAGCAGCGGCCAACAACAACGCAAATAAGCGTACGTCAAGCATAAGCTATAGTGAATACAGAGATTTTAAAGCACACACAACAACGACGACGACGGCGGCAACGGCGACAACGACGTTTCAATGTGTGCCTGATTTGATTACATACGAAAAAGATCTGAAAGAGATGAGCATGTGTCTGTGTGTGTACATGTATTCCGTCATACATGTTATGTATTCACATATGCCGTGAGTTTGTGAACTACAACGCCGAGACTTCGTGAATAAGACGAAAAATATAATATCAAAAAGGAAAAGAAGAACACACAAATTAATAAAAGAAAAATAAACGAAAAGAAAACAACAACAGCAAACACACACGCACACATACATAGAAACATACACGAAACATAAGGTTCAGAGAGCGAAAGAAAAGAAGAAAGAAGAGACTACTCGCTGCAAAATTAATATACACATAGTACACACACAATACGCGAAGGAAAAAGAAGAAAACAAGCGGCAGCGGCAACAGCACCACCACCAAACGAAAACGAAGAAGAAGAAGAAGTAGAAGTGAAGGCAGCAAAGAAAGAAGAAAAAAGAGCGCGCGCGGTGTAGCGGTGGTGGCGGCGGCGTTGACACAGAGCACACAGGAAAATGAAGAAAACAGCACAATAAAAGAAAACGAAAATAAAAGAAGAAGAAAAAAAAAATTATTTAACGATTAGAAAATTCAATATGTGTGCATACGAGTTTGAAGACACAACAATAAATATGTGTGCAAGTACTATATCATCCTATTATTATGAATAACAACAGAAACAACAACAACAACATCAACAACCAACAAACAACAACGGCTCGAACGAAAAATACGAAAAAAAATATAAATAAACCAAACCGTACATTATTATACGGCTATATCTAGCGCGCATATACTACTCTCCTCGTTCATCGTTCACATCGCTCCAAAACAACCGTTTCGACGATATTGAAGAGAGAAGAGAAAGAAAATGGATGCAATTGTAACATTAGAAAATTTTAAATTAATGGTATGCTACAAATGCTATGTTTCATGAACTACTATTATTTTATATTGAAAATAAGTGTGTTAGGTGTAAGTGTGTATGCGTTTATTTTCTCGTATTCGTAATTCTTCGTAAACTCGTAACTCGTAATATATTCGAGCTCTCTCATATATTTCGGTTTTTCGCTGCTGCTTCGCTTTGCTCTACTCGGCTCTATGGCTCTGTGAGCTGGTAGAGTATTCACTGGGAGTGAATTCACTCTATATGCAATACAAAAATTATATTTGTTGTTTTTTTTTTCTTCATTCTTCTTTTTTTTACTTTACTGTGTACATGTACAGAGAGATAGAGAATGTGTGTATCTTCCTTTTCACTATTATCTCTCCTTGTGTTATGTACAAACGCTATATTTATTTATTTTTTTACTTGCTCTGGCTATCGGTGTATTTCTTTTTCTTTTTCGCTTATATTATTTCTTTTTTTTTTTTTTTTGAAATTAATTTACAACGAAAATTTTTAGTAACGTAGAAAACACATCGCGTAGCGACAATACGATAATATTGTGTGTAAATGTTCAGTGCAAAAACGGCCCAAAACAAAAGACACTAGAATTAGTAGAATATATAAAAAAAATTAAATTATCGAGAGATTCATAGAAAATATATGTATATGTATATATAGTTGCCGTTGTCGAGTGAGTGGATTCGTTTTTCAAATTTCATATTGTCTTGTTGAAACCGAAATAGAACAAATGTCTAAACAATATTTAATTAAATAATTCCACTAGATTTTTGTGAATACTATGTATTGTGTATCTAATATATTCATTTCTTCCGTTTTTTTTCCTCGCTCGTGATATTCGTTTCTTGAAACAAAAAAAAAATCTCATCCGTCATCTTTGTTGCTGATTATGGTGCTGGTGTGTTCACTCTGCTTCTTACGATTGCTATATCGACTATGAAAACGGTTAATGTGCCACATTGTTCGTTCTTCTTTACTAATCAATCGTAATCATTATCGCACACTAAATGTAACTGTATCGATCGTAATCAAATTTTCGTCACTATTTCGACGTCGTGGTTGAAATTGGATTTGATTTAATTTTTTTTGTGTTGTTGTTTTCGTCGATGGCCCCTCTTTCAATCGTCAAATAAAAAATAAAATAAAACAAATACCAAATAATTTGTGTCGTGTATTTTGTTCATGTGCATACATATATATATTTGAACACATACCACAAAATGACATGCCATTTTGTACTTGGGTGCTAAATTTAGGTATTTGCATTAATCAAATTTCTGAATCAATTATCCGAACAAGATAAAGTAGCGGCCATCACATTTCTAATTACAACCCTGAAAGCAAGTACAAAAGAGCACTTTAGTAAATCGCGTAATTCGAGCAGAGGCTATACATTCGGTCAAAATACGGATGTTGAACAGTGGCTTGTGGCTGATGTAATTGAGAAAAAATCACCACCGACCGATACAGACGATTATGATGAAAATAGTCAAGATTTTGAAGAACAATTCCACATTCAACTTGATGATTTAGCAAATTCCGGTGCATTTGGTAATCAAGCATTGATACCAGTCATACAAAAGCGTAACAGCAATAAAGACGACAACGAACACCATCACCACAGCAGTAGCGGCGGCGGCAGTGACGGCGGCAGCAGCGGCAGCAGCACCAGCGACAACAGCAAATCGGTAGTGTTATCGCGCGAACAACGCAAAATAAACATCGTCCAACATTTACTAAACGAAAACAGTCGATACGAATTAAATGTGCATAAATTATTTGGGCTTAGTCGAAATTTTTTAAAATCGATTTTTAACGATTTTATATCCGAACATTGGATTGATGGGAAATTGCTGGTGAAACAGCAAAGAATGTTGGGCGACGCACCCTCAACAACAACAACAACTGCTTTTAATACTACGGAAGCTACACTTACCGAAATTGTTGACGAGAGCATCGAAATCGACAGCGATCGTGAATTGAGTCTAAATGACGTTGACGACGAAATTCCGACAACGCCAAATAATCAAACAGGCATGAGCGCCGAATCAGTCAATCATCAGGTCGATCCGTTGGAAACGGTCGAAGAAAACGATCCGACCAAAGTCAAACCGAAACCGGTACGAAAAACAAAACTCTACACCTGTTTTCAATGTCCAAAAGTGTAAGTAACATTTTCATTTTATTCACAATTTTCTTGTTTTTGTTTTCGTTTTTTTTGTTCGATGCCTTCTTTCTTTGATTTTTGACCAGATTTTATCTTCTCTTTCTCTTTATATATTTGCAGCTACAACAAAAGAAAAACGCTCGCAGTGCACTACAAATTTCATCCGGGCTATTGTTTCGATTGCGGTGAAAATTATGGAACAACGATTGAAGATCGTGTTCGACACAATCGACAATATCATTCAAAACAGTATCCACATGTGTGTGAGACGTGCGGTGATTCAATGTCGAGAAATCAACAGTATTTAGCCCATGTAAAAACACATGAAAAAGAGCCAATCGTAAAATCGGTGTGCAAACGGTGTGGCGAAAAATTTACATCGATTAAAGCGTACAAAGATCATTTACAAACGATGGGCCATACGGATGGTTCAAGAGTTTGCGAGTATTGTGGGAAAAGCTTTACAGACGAAGCAATGCTCCAGCAGCACATCAAACGAGTTCATCATACCAGTGAGTAACTATTGACCTTTTTTTCACACTTTTATTACGAACCTAAATGCCAAAAGGATAAAAAAAATGGAATCGTTTGATTTTTAATTGAACTTTTTTTATTTTCTCCTTTTTTTTATTTTGTTTTTCTAGCAAAATCTCATAAATGTGATCATTGTGAAAAATCGTTTGATACTCGATCGAATCTAACGCGACACATGCAAATTCACAAGGATTTAACGCCGAGTTTTGTATGTGAACAATGTGGCGGATCTTATGCAACAATGCATACACTACGTGAACACATCAATGATAAGCATACCAAGAAAAAGGTGCATATATGTGAGGTGTGCCAACGTGAATTTACCAATCGTCATTTGTATCGCAATCATATCGCAACACACTCAGAGGATAGACCATTTGCCTGTACAATTTGTACAAAAGCATTCAAACTGAAAACAAATTTGATGCGTCACACAAAACGTAATCATGGAACAACTAGCAGCAGCAGTAATAGCACAAATACGATCAATTCGGCTGGCGAAACGAAAGCGAAAGCGAAAAGAAAGCATCCATCAAGCGACAAAGATGAAAGTAATTCGTCAACGATGACACCACCGCCGCCGCCTCAAAAGAAACCATTTCAACCATTTTCTTCCGATAGTCCATTCTATAAGAATAATCAAACAATTCAGTTCCAAGCATCGGCCGTTGCACCACAAGAGCCGATCGTACAGAAAGCAGAAACACCGCAAAATCATCAAAATGAAGTGGTCAATTATCCGCCACAGGTCGCGCAAAAACCTCAAATGCCTGAATCATTTCATGTTGTTGAAACTTATATGCCAATTAAACAGTCACCGCAACCGCCAAGCACGCCCAATCAAAACTACTACCAATACTTTGAGCAACCGCCAAATGTAAGTGTCCATCTCATTGCCCATTTGAAAAAGAACAAAAAAAAAATCGAATAAAAAATTCGTATTCGCTTCAAAATTTCAATTTCAATTTTTTTCTTTACGCTTTTTTGTTTCATTGTTCTTGTGGCGATTGCTGTTATTTTTGCGGTTTCATGTATTCAGCAGCACCATGTTCATAATCCAAGAAGTCAACAAAATCAGCATGATGTGACATCGCATCAACAACAACTTCAGGTAAATGCCATAGCAATATTCCACTTATCTTTATGGTGCACGCGCGCTGCATATGTATTATTCGCATTTCGTTTAAATTGCATGCAAAAATATAATTAAGGATGCATTAGTGGCGAGAATAGAATACAATTTTCAATCTCCATATTGTGTGTGTGTGTGTGTGCGAGCACACTTCAAATAGAGCAAGTTTGATTGATCAATCTAGTTTCAAAATTGAGAACAAGAGCTAAATCACAGTGCACGCACACACACACGCACATAAAATGCACTCTGATAATAAATGCATTATCGTTTTTTGATAAGCAATTGAAAGAATTTAAATGGGAAGCTAGGAAAATAGAAGCTATAGAAATAAACATGAACCCATTTATAAACGAGAGAAAAAAACCGACAATGTTTTATTATCTGCATACATATACGTACATAAAATCAAAATAATACATAAAAAACGTGGAACAATTGTACATCACATGAACTTTGTAATATGTTTTTTTTCTCGATGATTTTCTCGTTAGAATAATATTTAAAATGGGTATCTTTCGGCATTTATACGATTTTTTTTTTTTTTTTGTTTTGAAATATGTTTTGAGTGAAAGTAAAATTGATAATTTCTATCTTTAAAACAGCAATACCAATCACAACAAAAGCCGAACAATGAATACCATCAGGCTACGCCTTCGAATCAAACAAGTGACGCGAATAAAATCCATCATAGTCTCCCGTATGTGCAAAGCGGCGCCTATCACATGCAACCACATTTACCACAAGCATATCAAGAGGCCTATCACACGCAAACAGTAACCAATCATCATCCAAATGTGCTACAATCACAGTATGCACAGCAACAACCACTAAAATATCGTCAGAGTGCTTCCAATGCTTCTCAGCAATATCAACAAACTCAACCTCCACATCATATCCAACAGCAGCCACAACAACAAGTAAATCATTCTTGATAAAAAAATTATGGCAATTGATAAAAAAGAACCATATCGTTTGCAGAAAAAGTTGGCTTTCTCTTTTTACCCATATTTCGTTCTGAATTGCCTATTCTTAAAATGTCTTTTCTTAATATTTTATTGTTTTTTTTTTTTCAGAATCATTATCGATACCCAAGTCAATATCACTACTCAAATCACCTGGCGCCATCATCTAGGCAAATGCAAACGCAACAACAGCAGCAGCAACAACAACAACAACAACAACAACAACAGCAGCAGCAGCAGCAACAACAACAACAACAACAACAACCGCGTCACGCAAATGTAATGGGAATGCCACAGAATTGTTATGATGTGTCTTATAATTCGGCAGCCGAATCTCAAACAAATCATTCACCAAGTAGTCAACATACGCCGCATCAACAAATGCAACCAACGCATCCGGCCGTTCCACAACAAGCTGCCGATCACAAACCACCGGCAGCAAAATATTCGTACTATGATGCAAATACTCATGCTCAATACGATCATATGCAGGCACACAATTTGGATACCGGATGGAATAATTTAAATCCAACATTGGTAGAAAATCAATCAGCTCAATATGGTGTACCGATGAGACCGGAAATGCCGAAATTTAGTAAAACACCAACACAAGCGACCGTCACAAATGATACAGCAAAAATGCAGCCACAATATCCATACCAAAATATGTGGCCAAGTGAATCCGCACAATTGGACTATGCGCCGAAAGCAATCGATCCAAATATTGCAAAACAACAACATGAACAACAACAACAGCAACAGCAGCAGCAACAGCAGCAGCAGCAGCAGCAACAACAGAGTTCAGTGAGCACGGCCACAAGTGCTGCCAATTCATATAACAGCATAGGTAATATTCTAACCAATTTGGAGCTACTGGGAAATAATTCAAATTTGGACACAAGCAACTTTGAACTCATCGGCTCGAATTATGATCAACAATATGGAACCAATTCATGGATGTAAAAAGAAATTAACCCCGTATCGATTTACAAAACAAACAAACAAACAAAAAAAAACATTCAAAACGGTGACAAAAACCGATCATCAAACAAATAGACGTTGAATTAAATTTTTATGGTTAAATGTTTCAAAACACAGAAATTTAGCGGAAAAGATATAAATACAATGGAATGAAGGAAAGGAAAAGTCAAGAAAAAAGAACGGAATTTATTTGTTGAAAAAAGGTGACATTTTGTATGCACTTTTTATTTTCTATGGAACAAACCGAAAATTGGGAGAGAACAACAATTCCAGGCACATTGGAATTCAAAAAACAAACAAAAAAAAAATCTGAAAAAAGCAATTTTAATTATTTTATTAATATAAATCATTTGATTCAAAAAATTGTTTCGATGAAAGATAGACAATGTTCATACAAAGTATGATAAAACATAATTAAAAAAAAAATGCAATTTCAACTGCGAAAAGACATGAAAATCACACTAAGCATAAACTTATGAAATAAAAACAAGGGAATATGCACACACACACGTATGAATTGAGTCAATCCCAATAACATAAACTATAGTGTGCTGTAAGCATCGTGTTTTATTTTTATTTTATTTTTTTTTTCGTTAAAAAAATTTCCTTTTCTATATTAGTTATTATTGTTTTTGTTTTTCTTTCCTTTCGAATAGTCACGAATGCTTTTGTTGTATCTCATTTTTACCAGTTCAAAATGTATGCAAAGAAGAAAAGAGAATATTTTTCCACGTCTGAGGCTGCTGGTGATGATTTACAAAAGTAGTAATTAAAATGATGCTAACTATGAAAAACATAATAAGTAAGAAAAAAAATGAAACATACACACAATGCAAAGAGAAACAAAAAGCAAATTTAAAAAAAAATTAAATAAATGAGTAAATATTTAATTTAGGCAAAATAAAGGCGAAAATCAACATTGATAATGCAATTATATATATATATACGCTATAAATGAGGGGAGGGCGATCATCATTGTTGTCCGAGTGTGCACATTGAATGGACGTTCATTTCGCATCAATACATCCACAATTTGTATGTGCGTGGTTCGATCGCATCACCTCAAATTATATCCAATAATGATGATATAAAATGCAATACAACACAACACTTTTATTTCTTCTTTCCTTATTTAGAAGTAAAGAATCAAACTATCTGCGCAATATCTTATCTAAAGCTAACTAATAAGATGAAATACAAACAAATTTAAAAAGAAAAACACACACATACACAGAAAAATTATTTTTTATTAAGACAATTTAGTGCATAACAAACAAAATGTAAAACTTTATGAAATTATTCTAAAAACAAATCGTTTTGTTTTCATTTTTGATTTTTAGTTCAAAGGATATAGAGAAAAAAAGGCAAAGTAACGAGTCATTTTTAAATGAAAAATTATGACGGACAAAGAAAGATAATAATGAAAAAGAAGAGACTCAAAATACAAAAATCAAAGTCCTATTCAATAATTTTTTTTTTTTTACTTTTTGTTTGTTTATTAAAAAATATCTTTCTTTTGTTTTCAAAAATAACAACAAAACAATGTCAAAAGAGAAAAACCTCGAAAATCAGAACCTAAATAAACGATCAAAGAAATAAAAATCAACAAAAAGCCAAATTTTATGAAAATTTGAAGAAAAAAAACATCAATTGCGTTTTATTTATTTAAATTTACGTTTTTTTTTTATTCAAGTGTGTGTGTTTTTTTTACTTTTCACAACAGAAAATGATTCCATCATTAGCTGAGAGACATATCGATTATGATGATAAACAAATTATTTTATTTGAAAAATATGAAAAAAAAGAAAATTAACCAAAAATGCCCGATTAAGATTTTTGTGCTAATTTCTCTCGTTTGGCTGCTTCAAGTTCAGCTTCGATTTTCTCATATTTTGCAATGAGTGCATCGACCTCAGCGTTGGTTAGAATTTTGATAACGGTCTTGTCGTTAACTCGGGTCAGTGTTGCCATTTCCACTGAAAATTAAAAAGAAAAATCCATTACAATGAAGTTTTTAAATGTATTTCATGGCAAATGAGGCTTGGTTCGGTAATATTTACCCTTTTCGGATGTGAGTTTCGTCATATCAAGTGATTTGCTGAGCACTTTAACGGCCAAATCTTCGGCGGACGCCAATGTGATTGGCTCATCCGATAATTCTTGTTTTAAAATTGAAATAGCCGCACCGGAATTATTACCAATGCATGTTGCTTTCCATCCACCATAATTTCCACTTGGATCCGATTGGTACAATTGATAACCATAATGTTTATCCCAACCCATATACAAAATCGATACACCAAATGGACGCTTGCCACCGTATTGTGTATAAGCTTGCTTAATATCACATAAATATGAAACCAATTGTTCGCACGGCATTGGTTCGCCATAGTTCAACTGGAATCGTTGGGCTACATCGAATAAAAGTTTGTAAGTATTGAAATTATAATGACCAAAAATATGATAGTCAAATTTACCTATAACACGAAGTTCATTTGTGAGCACATTTGCATCAGACGTTATTCCAGCAACCGAACAAACCATATCACTGAAATTAACATTAAATTCAATTAAAAATCAATGCACACACGGTTTTACTTTTCAAATTACTCACTCATTGAGTTTGTAAATTTTCTCAGAGAAAATGGCACCGTCCAAAAGTTTGTTGGTATTACGACGTTCAGCAGCTAGTAAAATACCGTCTTTGGCCAAGATTCCAAGACAGGTGCCGGCATGCGAAATAGCCTCCATTGCATACTCCACTTGGTACAATCGACCTAAGCAATAAATAGAATCAACATACTTATGTCATTTTGGGCCGACAAAAACTAAAAAAAATATGAAAATACGGAGTGAAAAGAGTGGTCATACCTTCTGGAGAGAAGATTGTGGTTCGGGAATCATAACGACGAGCCTATAAAATATGGATAAATTGTAATAATTGCTGTTATTCATGGCAATTCAAAATATGAATTGGAGAATGATTTGTGTTTTTTGTATTCATAAACGCTATATGACAAAGCAATATACTGCACATAACCTTAAATATGATACGGTGAAATATAATTTTCCCATTATAAACACGAACAATGTAAATTGTGTGGAAATGTTTTGCATTTTTTTCATGTATCCCTGCGAATTGAACTTACCATTGTTTTTAATATTCAATAATCAAATGGAAAATCGAATTCAAATATTGTTTCGGATAGATAAACAAGCTGAACACTAATTCAGAGCTTCAAACTAAACAAAATGATTGAACGAAGACACTAGAGACAGACCGCAATCGAAACGAAATGTCAAACTTAACGATTCAGCAACGAAGTATTTCGTAAAGTAAATTTACGTATTTGGTTTTTTGTTCAATCGGTCGTCTTCGTTGTCGTCACTATACAGATATTACGAATTGCGTATATGATGTCATATGGTGAAATGCATGTGTATTTAGACGTTCATTTACAGTGTGCACAATTCTTTTTTGCACGAGCGCCACCAGAAAAGGTTGAAAAACCATCTTTATGTCACGATTGTATGTGTCTCTTAGATGAAACTCATGTCAACTCGATATTTCGTGTAAAGCGTAAATCAAAAAACGAAAAGGATAAAACGAGAAGAAAAAAAAGTGAACAACTGCAACAGTAGCAAGAACGGCGAAAACAACAGCAGCCAGCATTAGCATTCAAGCAATATCATACAAGAATTTGTGTATATATCAGAGAAGAATAGAGTGTGTGCGTGAAAAGTGTGTATGTTTCTGTTGTCTTAGTGGTATGACCTAAAAATGGTGGAACCTGATCCATGGAATGTAATTGACAAAAATCAAGAAAATATTCACAATTGTGTGACAAACAACGAATCGAACGCCAATCCATCTGCATTCGAAGACGATTTTCAACCCACAATCGACAACGCAACCGAAGATTTACCAGATTCAACCGAGTACATACAATCATTAGGTATTTATCGTTATTATTTATGTTATTATTATCTTGATTTTTTATCTTTTTCTATCTCGCATTGTCTCTTAATTTTGCACATCGTTTCAAATTTGCCAAGCAATTTCCCACTCTTTATCGTTTTTATTACTATCTATGTTTGTGTGTTTCTTTTTTTATTGATTCAACTGCGTACGAAATGTGAATGAATGCGAATGTGTGATTTTTATGTATGCCGAGAGTCATTAAAATTTGTCTAGTGTCATTTATTTATTTTACTTTCTATAATCGATTTGAGAACGACAAAAAACATACGCCACACTGTAAATTCATTATTTATATCATTTTGTGACACTGACCATTGAAATTGAATAATTTTGTTCTCTTGTTTTTTTTTTATTTAAACCTGTCACTGGAATGCAGAAAGGAAACTTTTTAAGTTGAAAAATACATCAAATATTCTGGACCAATTGAAGGCACGTCGAGAGCATTGCATCGAAAATTTGCTCATTGGTAATATCGAAACCAGTACAAACGGTGACGAAATTCATCTGGACGAAGACATCGAATCGAATAGGCGCCGTGATATTTTGCGATATATTCAACCAGAGCAACCGATCAATTTGGGTGAATTGGTGACGATCATTAACCACGATCATTTGGAAGAAAATCAAACGAATTCCACTGAAAAAGGCAACAACGAAAATCTCTGAAGTAAGATTGCATTGAAGTGTTTTGAAAAAAAAAAAAAAAAAAAAAAAAAGTTAAAGTCAAACAAACAAACAATTCAATAAAAAAAAACATAGAAACAAGATAAAAGCAATGTCATCAGTTCGAAAATCAAAGAATGCTGTCGACTTGACACAGAAAACATTTTTCGTAATGACGGGTGCTAGTCGTGGCATTGGCCGAACGATGGCCATTGAATGTGCTGCCAAAATGGCAACGGGTTCGGTAATTGTGCTAATTGCACGAACCGCAGCTGGTCTTGAAGAAACAAAAGCCCAAATTCTTGCCAAAAATCCATCGAATGTGACGGTATTTTTGATAACACTCGATCTGACACGTCCATCAGCCGAGCAAATAAGCTCGCAGATTTTTGATGCCACACTCAATGAACGTAATCTTGACGAATTTAAATTGGCAATGATTGTGCACAATGTCGGTAGCATTGGTGATGTTAAGCGATATGCAAAAGATTTTTGTGATATGGACGAATGGCATGATTACTATGCAATTAATGTATTTTCTGTGATTGCAATGAATACGGAATTTTTGAAGCGATTCAACACACAAACGCGTCGATTGGTTGTTAACATTTCATCTAAATTGGCACTTCAACCATGCAAGAGCTTAACCATGTACTGGTAATGTATATTCCGGTCAAGTCATTTTCAATTCTTCGCCGATTTTTTTTTTGTTTAATTTGTTTTCTTTTTCTTTCTTAAACAAAAAAAAGCTCCGGCAAAGCAGCACGTGAAATGTATTTTCGCACATTGGCATTGGAAGAATGTGAACGCGATTCAGCATTGAGCATTTTGAATTATGCACCAGGTCCTGTGCAAACTGAAATGACTGAAGAAATTGAAACGAGCGCTGTGGAATTTGGTGTTCGTGAAGTTTTCAAGGGATTACGCGAAACAAAGACAATGTTACAGCCAATCGAAACGACCATCAAATTCTTAAGGGTCATTGAAAGTGGTGACTATGAATCGGGAGCGCACATCGATTACTACGACAATTGACAATAAAAAAAACATAATACCATACACTTAATCGATTTGCATAAGCTTTGATGTTACAGGAATTTGTTTTTAGAAAGAAAAAAAAAACCTTATTGTTGATTTACACATTCTCTTATATCCATTCCCATTTATTTTCTTTTTTTCCTTTGACTTGCCAATATATATATGTCGAAACTTACTTACAATTTATTGAATAGATTCCAAATTGTTTTTTTGATGAAAAAAAATATAGAGAATATTTTTCTTATAAGCATACAAGAAACAATATCCGTCTTTCACTACAACATTTGTTTGTTTGTTTGCCTTGACAATTCTTTTCGGATAAATATCTCATTCTGATTTATTTACCATTCAAACAGAATGAAAAAAGCAAAACAAATTTTTTTTATCCATATACTGAATGTATTTCAATTCCATTTGCAGTGTGTTCGAATTTATTGCGTGAAACGAAATATTTCGACTTTTCACATCCGGAGGATATCATGGACTCAGCGTTTGGTAAATCATTTCTATTTTTAACAAAACTAGCCTGGAATTGTAAAGTAACCTTGCCCGTGCTATTGACAACCGTATTTTTGGCCATGGATTTTCGTATGCAAATTGAACTAAACATCGAAACTGATCAGCTGGTTTTTCAAGTAAATTTCAACCACTTATTTATTTACAATAACTATAAATTACACGCTAATTGCTTTTTATGCAATTTACAGGACGAGATTGATGACTCTGACGAATATGAAACGGTAGAGGAATTGGATATCAGCGATGAAAGTGATTCATAGTCTTTTTAGTATGCAATCTGAAACTGTTCAACACCAAATAATGTTATTGCCATTTTATAAATCAAGTGCGGCACCACTTTATATCATGACATGAAGAAATAACAGAAAAGAAAGAAAAAAAATCTAAGACTGATTCCCCTATCAATATTTGCAGGCATTCATTTCGATGTCGCATTGAGATCCTCATGTGAAAGTCCAATTAGAAATATGGTTTTTATTTGAATTTAAATGTATAGCATAGTTTATCACTAAACATTAGATCATGTTATTGTTGAAACGGTTATTGTTATTTGAATGAATGAAAAAAAAAATGCTTTACCACATTACGGGTTCTTTTATATTCCGCACAGCCCTAAATAGGGACCCGTACTGCGGTCAAGGGTACAATAGAAATCCTTGGATTTAAACTATTCACGCCTAGTAACTAACAAAATTGTTAAAATATTCTTCTTATGATTATTGTTGATTTTATGCTGCTATCAGTTGACATTGTTCGCATGGTGTGGATTGTCAGGTCTCTTCAACGAATCGGGCAATGGTATGCCAAAAAGACGACACATTCCTATAAAATCAGAAATAAACACAAAACATTAATCAATTAATATGAACACTGAACACCTAACGCTCTGCTCTCTATTCTCAATTTAATATTAATACAATATACAATTATGCACATACCTTTGAATAAAATATTCTTTGCGGCAACAATGTCACGGTGCCAAATGACTACGTGCTCAATCATGTCTTCTGGTGCAGCATCACCCAATTCATGGTATTCTCGAGTTAATGACCAAGTTTTGAAGATAACTTTTATCTTTGGCACTAAACGCTCGATGTTCTCACGATCTGGATTGATTGCTCTCTCTACAATTCGCTCTTTCTTAAGCTCTTGTCTGCTCAAATTCGTCACAATTATCGGTGGTAGTCCAACAATCGGTTTTGGTATGCAATTTCGACAAATTTTGAATCGATGATTTTTGGTTTCTCTTGGAAATCGCTCGTGACAATTGGCACACGTTATTGATGTACCCCATTCATCTTGAAAACTGACCTTTGTGTGCTCTTGTTTCTTGAAGCTGGTCGCCAATTTACGCGTTCCCGGGCATCTTTTCCGCTTCTTTATGCCCCATGGCCGATTTGGTGCCATTTCTCCAGCACCAATCCAAATCCAAGACGGTTTGTTGTTCGTTACCCGCATGGCAACTTTATCACTTGTTTTGGTAGCCTTGATGTGGTGATCGAGATCCAATCGTGCATATTTTCGAGTCGCATATGCTTGCATTCCCATTCGTAGTATTTTGATGCGATGCAGAATGTACGCTTTCCATGTGGATCCACGCGGCGATGGTATCACTGGGTACGACTTGAAATCCATTTGTTCTTCTTCAACAAACCACCAGGTCAACCGATCAGCCTTCCGATCTCTCTTCTTCTGCTCGGTTTGCCAATGAAATGGTGGATTGGATATTTTAATGTTTTCCTGTTAAATAATAACGTCAAATTTCAATCACGTTCCAAAAAAAAACATTGTAATAACAAACTTAACTTACTCAATGTTTGACTTGATATGGCGGCGCACAACGGCCACCCACGTTTTCTCGTTCGGATCGATGGCACTAGCATATGTCATGTTGTTAAATGTGGCCTGCTCCGAATTTTCCACCCAAGCCTTCGCTGGCTTCTCGTACAATATTGATACGCAAACACTATTGGTGATGATTTGCGAGTGAAACCGCTTCTGCTTGCCGATTTGTTTGATTTTATCCATGTCGAAAACCAAATTCCACAATTCATCTCGATGGCCGTACAAGTAATAGTCCAGTGTGTATTTGTTCATTCGATTGGTCAGCGGATTGCGAGAACTGGGCACCACTCCTAGTACAGTGTTCGCCAAATAATACATATCTTTCATATCCAATCGAACGTTTTTTAGTTGGAATCGGCATAACGGGACAAGTGCGAAATTGTTCACTTTTGGCGGTCGATTGTTCGTTATCAATCCATCGCGACGGAATGCATGCCATTGTTGTGAATATTGATGAAACACTTCGATTTGGCGTTGCATTTGACCGAACATCCACAGTGATTGGAACCAATTGTCCTTAACGAACTCATTGACAGTGACCGGAACCAATTGTTCATTATGAACTTTTTGACACTGCCAACCGATTCTTTCCAGTTCATACAATAAAATGTTCATCTTATTTGTTCTCTCTACATCACCATGTGTCAGATCTTTGTTACTAGTGGCGTAAACTTTTGCGTTTCGTATATCGATGCCGTCGAATTTTGATCCATTGTATTGATGGCCATTGATATTCATGTTATAATACCAGCGTTTCATTTGAAAAAACGATTCAACATGTTCTGAACAATGAGTGTTGAGATTGGTCTGATTATTTCGAATGTGATCTTGGTAGAAATAATTAAAACCATTTCCCAGGCATTCTTTATCGGGCCATTCAAAATTCTCTACACCGAAGTGTGCCTCGACAATGTTACGAAAAGCTGGCGGCATTAGTTCCTCTCTGTCGACTTTATCGGCTAAAACACCGTTAAAGCACTCGATGAAAAATGTTTTACCGTTTTGTAGAAAAAATTGTCGGTTCTCATCATCGATGGCTTCTTGAATTTTGTACAACGCCAACAATGATGCCAGTGACGAAATCAGTGTCATTTTGTAGCTTCGATGATCCAAAAACTGAATCACTCTGTCGCGATATTCTTCCCGTATGATTGACTTGACGCCTTGTTTTATGACTACAAGGTTCTTAATGTCGTCTTTCCTTTCGGGTGGACTGTATAAATGAAACGAAAACAAAGAAAAACATACACACTTATTTAAAAAAAAACTAGTCACAGAACAATATCGCAAAATTGCATCGAAAATCCAATGAAAAAAAAAACACAGAATAAATATTAAGAAAAACAATGCTTACATATTAAATTGATCCTCTCTTGATCTTGTTCTACTCATGGTTTAATCAATCAATCACAATTTCTGGTGCTTTTCCAAATATTATGGGATAGTTATCACTATTTTCGGTTGCAATCAATTCGCATCAATTTCACAATTCAAATTGTAATTTTTAATGTGTTTTTGTTGGTTCTGCTTGTAAACTGCCTGACGAAATTCAATTATTATTATCAATTTAAAGTTATTTTTCTGACTTGATGATGAGATTTAATGGTATTTCAAATAGCTTCACAGCGCGAACGGTAACTTTGAACTAAAATGAATGCAGAAATGCACCGCTATTTATAGCAAATTATTGCTGTATTGCAAAAAGTCAAGCCTCGAAAACTAAAATGACTGGAATTAAACGATTCTATTGATACATCAATATATGCAAACAAATTTACAATATTTTCATTCAACAACTCAATCACTCCACTTTGATTTGCCACAAAACTCTGCCGAAAATGCATTTTTAAACAGGAACATAACAAATCACAAACGAGAGAATTGTCGAAATGGTTTTTCTTTCAAATGTGTTTCGATGATTTGGAATATTAACAGTAATACTTTATAAATGTTCTGTCGTTTGAATTGAAAACAGAAACAGACACAAAATATTTCCGCAAATATATCCATCACATTTCGTGAACACACGATATCGTTGTATCAAAACACTGACGAAGCACATCACAAAAACAAGCGGTGATCGGGAATACTGTTGTACGGTCAAAATTCTACAGTTTGTTGCATTCGCACTAGTATTTCGTTTACAGAAAAACAAAAACACAAACACATATTATATTGTCTCTCTCACATGTTTCGTTTCTTTGTGCTGTGACATAAAAAAGCCACTGATACAATATTAGCACTAAAATCCATTTGTCTTATTTTATCATGTTGAAAACTGAAATCGGTTGTCATTTTGAATTTAATTTGTTTGAAAAAAACAACAACAACGCACATTTTCTGACCGCTAATAAGAACAAAGAAACTCGTGCGTATGAAAATTCGATTGGAAATCATGGATATACTCTACATTCCGTTTGACACTAAAATGGCCACATAATTATCCTTGTGAATGTGTGACTCTCTCTGTTGTGCATTTGTGTGTGTACAAACTTTCAATTGTTTATATGCGCGACCGGTTCAATATTGCATGTTTCAAACCGAAACACCGAATGAATTTGTTTATATCACTTTCCCTCACACACACACAAACTCTGTATTCGTAGCGATATTTGACTTTTTGAATTTGTCCAACTGAATTTTAGGCGACGGAGAATGCAATCGTATGAGATTGTTGTTGTTGTATACCAAAAATCATCTCTTTCTAAACTGGCGGCACTTCTCAGTATAGTTTTGGCCGCAATAAAAAAATCAATCCCGTTAAATATTGAATAGAGTGATTTGTTTGTTTGTGATACATGTTAAATCGAAGCACAAAAAATTCCTTTGCTACATTAATTCTGTTGAAAACTGAAAAATGTGAATACAAACTTTGTGTGTACTCCAGTTGAAAAGAAAACAAATCTGAATGGCAACTCATTATATTTCGTTGTGATTTTGTGTATTGAAACATTTTTGTCAATACACTGTAATTTTGTCGATGTGTGATGTTCAATATTCAACTGATCCTTGCCTTCTTAATGATGCTGGACATATGTATGAATATAAGTGATACAAAATGCAATCAAACAGCGAAAACAGTCGATAGAATTGTTGATATAAATTTTATGTAAACAAAATCGAACATTTGAATCTCATGTTACACATACTTTCATTTTTTAAACGAGTAAGAGTCAGCAAAACGCGCATTGTATCAATACCGTTGTATGCTTTGAGATTCAAACAAAAACGGCAACACATTTGAGTGAGTTTGAATGAGACTGAAAGACTAATAGGAGAAATAAATTGTAAAATGTTAACGTAATAAATGAACAATTTTATTGGAAACTATGCATATGTTATATAGTTCAATCAACTTTCCATTGACACGAAAATTACCACCGAAATGGGTGAAAACGTTACAAATCGTTAATAAACGTAACTTTACCACATTATAATGAATAAACATTTCAAATCGTTTTCGAAAACATACATATATCCTACATTTGATTCACTCGAATCAAGTGAAAACTGGGCAGTCATGGTTTACTCAAAATCATGAAAAATTAACAAAAGATAAAGAAAGTGTAACAAATTTAAATTTTTATTGTATAACAACAAACGTGATCAACCCAATCCAACTAAACGATCAAAAGTGTCATAATGATTACCATCTTCCGCATCTTCAGCGGTTGGGCTTTTATCTGATGATGAACTTGATTCTGATTCGTTGGCCTCATCATTATCTGTGTCTCGCATATTCCGAAAATCAATGGATTTTTCAAAAAGATCGATCTCATCCTCTTGATTTACTGCAAAAAATGAGCTCGAAATAATCGCATTCTTTCGATTTGTCGATGTTTCCAATTCCAGCGATAAGTTCATCTGAATATTTGGCTTCAATGATTTGGCCGGTTGGCCTCGGGATACTGGTGTTGAACAATTGTTCAACATGTCCGTTGATATAGATTCTAATCTTGATTTTCTTCTTCCAATTATTGATTTTCGGGACTTTCGCATCACAAGCATATCATATTCATCCATATCATCATCAATTTGTTTGTCATTTGCCACTTTCTCATCACTTTGGTTTTCCTTTTCGTCGGCATTTTCTTCTAGTGCCAGACTTTGATTTGCTTTTGTTTCGATTTCATCGAATTTCAGTTTCTTTCCATTGAACTTGGTGACGTTCGGTGGTCGTGCAACCATTTCGTTGATAATTGACGACAAATTCATATCTTCATCGTCATCAAATACATTGGAATCCTCAAAATTCAAGGAGAATGCGGATAAATTCATTGGCTTGGTCGTGGTTTTAATTTTCGGTGACGAATACACAGTGGATGGTTGTTTTTGGAAGAATAGATCGATTGGTCGTATATTTTCATCCTGTTTCTTTCTGGTCTTTGCACCGGCACGCGACGATACTTTCTTTGTTGGCTTTTTTGTTAAACTTTCTGCCGAATCCAAATTTGTAGTTTTCGCCTTACGTCCGCCTTTCTTCGCCTTAGTTTGGTCATCCGACGTTTTTGTCTTCTTCGGTTTGACTTTGATTTTTGACTCTTCGAATTGACGCACCAAATCTGGATATGATTTTTCAACCAAATCAATTGGTTCGATTGTACTCCACAATAATTGCAATGCATCGGTTTCATTTTTCTCTTTATTTGTTGCGTAAAACGTTTGTAGTTGATCGTTCGGGATAAGCATATCGAAGCAATGTTGTTCATCTTTCCAAATAATCTCATAACTTGGCACACCTTTCGGTGTTCTCTTTTTTTTGATGAAATCTGGTTGTACACTGCCTCGCAATCCAGTTACGTCCGAGCTATTGGTATTATGGTGTAATTGCCATCGAGTCAACAACGGCAAGAACTTTTGAAAACAGTAAATTTCATCCCATTGAATCAGCTTACTCATCATTTTCTGAAAGATGCATTTGAGCACACAATAAAAGACAGTTACAGGCTTTCGATGATGGTAAATTATGAAGAAGAAAAAACACATACCACAAATTTTACCACGTTTGGTTGACCCCAATCTAATTGCAATGGTGACATGTCGATGGGCTCTTGCATAAACTCATCAATTACTTCTTCCGATGGAAAATCGTCGCTCTGCAACGCTTTTTTTCGTATCTGTAGTTCGGATTTTATGGCCAATCGCTTTTCTCTGTAAAAAAAAATATTTCAAACATTTGTGGTAATCTATAATCTTGAATGCACTCTGTTGAACTCACTTCCAAATGCTCGAATCACAGCCGGTGTTCATTTTACATTGCGCGCATCCACTTTTTGCATGACTTTGCACTCGACCGAAGTGGCCACAATTTACACACAGTTTCTTATCATCGACTTTCATTTCAAGCTCGGTGTATTTATGGTCGTTTTTACGCCACATTCGAATTCTATGAAAAGAAAATAAAAACACATCAAAATTAATCACAAATGATTTGAAGCAAAACTGTCGACGCTCTATCTCATTTATATTACTTTTCCAAAATGTCATTTTCCGAATAAATTTCGAATAGTTTATGTACAGCGTCTCGTCCAACGCCACCAACTCCTTCGGGACAATAATCACAGCCGCACAATAATGCCATTACGATGATTTTATTTCGTCCAAAATCCAAGGACTTTTGTATGAAATCCAAATCATAAATATCAATTGAACCACCAATACTGCCGGCCGTCCCTTGCATTGATAATGAAAAATTTCGAAATACACGACGTGCTCCGTATGCAAAACAATCCGAATCTTGACTTATAACGCCATCAACCAAACCATTTGCATTTAAATGTGCACAAAATGCTTCGGCCTCGCCCGGACCTTGAACACAATGCAATCCCATGCTTCGTATCAATTCTTCACATTGTTTTAACACATAGTTGAAACGTGTACGACCTTTGCTTGCCTTCTGTGTATTTGCTTGCAAAGAGTCTTGCGATTGAGAATCTTGTGCATTTTTGCGTGGACGTGCACCACGGAATTGAATTTGATTTCGTTTTGAGATCATTTGATGTTTTAGCACCGGTGCCGTTCCTTCGAGCACAAATACCGGCGTTATACCCGACAGTAACAGATAACATGTTCGAAAAAATAAATTCCTGCAAAACAAAATCGTTATTCAATAAATAGATGTGTGATTCCAATGAAAATTACCTTAAATAAAAACGTGCTTGCACTTCATAGTCAACAACACAGAGACTCTCACAAATCCACCCAGCCAAATCAATGGCAACTGTTTTGCCCTGCAATTCATACAATGGTTTTCGTACGCAGTATGGATTTAGAAATGGCCACAGATCTTTAATTCCCATGGTTTATGAAGATCATTGCCAATGGCATGTATTAAAATTGAAGGAAATAAACTAGGTAAACAACAAGTAACAAATGTTCACAACAAACGATGAAATTCAAACAAACACTGACAGCTCAATGTGTGTGGCGCCACCGTCGACATACACTTTACATATTTAGTACAAATCGTTCAGTTTTATTTCAGTTTTTTTTTATTTCAATCGAATAAATATGCAATGTTTTTTTTCTCATTTAATTTACTTAAAACATTAAAATGTCAAGAAATTACAGAAATCAAACTCAGATACATTTCAATTCCATTTATAATGCATGTTTTAGTACCGACTCTTGTCCAATGTTGACAATCTAATATGAATTTACGATGCCTTTCCAATGCCCATGAAAATGAAATATATATTTCCAAAGGAATCGAGTCCGAAATTTCAATAATTGACCAAAGTGTAATTTTTCCAAATAAGAACAGAGTTTGGTTTGGATCAACGCTTGAGTTTGAGAGAATAAAGGCGAACAAACTAACTTACGTTTAGTAAATGGATGTTATGATGGATGAGTAGAATTCATAGTGATATCGTTACATCAATTGAAGTTAAAAATAAAAAAGAACATTAAAATTTAAAATCCACATGATTATCGGAAAATTTATTTCTTTTTGTTTCGAATTACAAATTCATTATAAACTAATATACGCTATCTTATACCATAACAATTTTCTAGAAAAGTTAAATAGTGATGATGGTGTTCATGTATTATTGTATTAACCGTGAGTTGTGTCATCTTCAACGAAATCTCTGGCCACTTCTCTTGTAACACAGTCAACGTGTGATACTTTGTTCCGGAAACGAACACCATAAAACTTGTTTGCGTGCTCAAGTAGTTCAGGTCGGAAAGTTGTCGTAATAAATTGTGCATTTTCGCTGAGCTCATGAATCATATCAGCAACTGCCTTACGATGTTGCGCATCCAAAGCCTGAAACGACACACAAAATTATAGTGTAAATAAATGTGAATAAAAACGTTTTTTTTTAATTAAATAATTTTCATACTTGATCGATTTCGTCGAACAGATAGAATGGTGCTGGATCGCATTTTTGAATTGAGAAAATGAGTGCAAGAGCAACCAATGATTTTTGACCGCCAGACAATTGGTTCATTTCTCTCATTTCAGCTTCCGAACTGGATAAGAATGAAACACGAATGCCGATGCCGGTAAAATCATCAGAGCTTGCCACCTCTGGATCTTCTTCGTTTTCATGACTGTCACGTGTTTTCAATACCAAATGACCGCATCCTTGCGGTACAAGTTTCTTGAAAACGGCGGTAAAATATTTGGCCACTTGTTTGAATGTGAATTGAATTGCTTCAACTTTGCGCATTTCAAGCGTTTGCATCAATTCACGAATTTTTTGATCGGCAACGTCCAGTTCCTCTTTACGCTTATACAATTTCTCTTTTTGTTCGGAAAAACTTAAAAATTGATCTAATGCCTTCTTGTTTACATGAATATACCTTTTCAAATGCTGATTTGCCTTCTCCAATTCTTTGAATAGCTACACAACCAAAAACGGTAAGAAGAAAAAGGTGTGTTATATTTTTTTTCTTCATCAAAATATAATCCAAAAACAAGCGATTTACTTACATTTTTCAATGACATTCGAGTGTAGGCTGGATCGACTTGTGGCAGTGCACCAAGACCAGCAATCTTCTCGGTGCACTCGTCAATTTTCGATCGAAGGAGATTCTCTTTTGCTGCCCATTTTTCAAATTTCTTTGAATCTTCATCGATTTTATCCTTGGCCTCTTTTTCTTTTTGCGTCCATTTTTCCAAATCTTTTTGTAAATTTTTTTGCGATTTTACCGCATCTTGAACCTTTTTTTCGACCGTTTGTAAGTCTTTGTTGACCTTTTCAATACGTTTTTCGGCTTCAACACGATCCGCATTGCAATTGGTTAATTTACGTTTTCGATCTTCAACGGAAATTTCTTGCAATGCTTGCACCAATTCATCACGGCGCCGGAATAAATTGTTCGTTAACAAATTATCGAGTTTATTTTTCTTCACTTCCAATTGCATACGTTCGCTGAACGCTTCTTTGTTCTCTTGGTTCAATCGACGGATTTCGTCGTTGAGTGTGTCAACTTCACGTTGATCTTGTGTCGATAGCTGTGCCATAAGCTCTTGATGTAATTCATTTTCAAGGCCATCTTTTGTGCTGTTCAATGCCTCCAAATTAGCTTTGCACTGTGTATATGAACGCTCTTTTGGTCCACGGAATCGTTCGATTCGACTCAATTCCTCTTTCATCAAACGAATGTCAGCCTGCACTTTGTCGAATATATCTTGCGATTTTCCTTGCTTTGTTTCAATTTTTTGCATTTCTGACACCAAATTGTTAATATTAGTTTCGGTTGTTCGTAATTCATTTCGAATGGATGTAAGCTCCTCTTCAAATCCTTTGATCAAATCCATGAATTCGGTTCTCTTCTTTTGAATTTCAAGACGTGAACGCGACGTATTGAAATAACCACCGGTCAAACAACCTTTCGATGATACTTGATCACCTTCTAATGTTACACAATCCAAACCGGTGCTCTTTGCCAATTCGGTGGCACGCTCCAAATTACGGCATATTAATGTTTTACCGAATATATATCGAAGCGCTTTATCGTATTGTTCTTCGTAACGCAATTTCGATATCATTGGAATCGAATCGGGATTATCGGGATAGTCATGCACTTTGACTTGTAAACGATTGAGCGGCATGAATGTCACTTCACCCGGCAATTTCAATTTGTTCATTTCTTTGAGTATTTGTGTGCCAACACGATCGGACTCAACAATGTGATGGAATAGACGATTACCGGCTGTCACTTCGACGGCCGTGTAAATGGCTTTTTCACAACTAAAATTCTCAATGACTGGACCGTAATAGGCTTTGGCTATCTCAGCTTCTGGACCACCTGACTCCAAAAACAAATCCAATACTTTACGAACGGAATCACGACCATTTAAAATTGGCTGAAAATATGTTCAAACATAAATTAGTTGGCAAATACTACGGTACTATATTATGTTATGCACTTACCCGGCCAGCCATTGAACGAAGTGCCGTATCGGCTTTGCCCAACTCTTCTTTGTTCGCTGACAGCGTTTGTGTCATTTGGGTTTCTTTGCGCCATAAATCGCTGAAATAAAAAATAAATTTTAGTTTCGTGTCACAGTCAAAACATAGCGAAGAATATATTATCAACACACTTTCTTGCTGTTTGTAATGCATCCTTTTTCTTTTTCAATTCATATGATTCTTTGTAAAATTGATCGATTTGTATACGCATCGATTCCACTTCGGCCGTATGCTCTTCAATTTTCTTCTCCAACTCGGTTTGTTTGGCTGCATCCCGTTTCAAATCGTCTTGCAATTTATTTTGATGGGCAATTTTATCTTTGATTTGCTTTGCCAACGATTTTAATTCAGTTTGGATCCATTTGTCACGATCTTCTTTCGATTTAAACTGTGAGCCACGCCCTTGTTTTGCATACAATTCTTTTCGTTTTTGTTCTTTCAATCCAAGATCACGTGATAAATCTTCTTCACGCTGTTTCATTGCTTCATAACGCGGCCGAACTTCGTCTATAGTTGCAAAGAGAAAAAAAAGTAAAAAAAATATCTTTAATAAATTCACCAAAAATCAATTCAAACCATTTTGTTTTACTCACCCAGTTCTTTTTCTTTTTCGGCAATTGTAACTTTCAATCGTTCCAATTCCTGTTCGGCACGTTCCTTTGACTTATTATCGCCCTGAACTTCATCGGTCAAATCTCCGATTGTCAAATCAAGTTTCGTTTTTTCACGCAGCAATTGCTGTTGTTCGGTCATCAGAACGGATTTTTCATCTTTTAAAATTGTCACATCTTTGCGTGCCTCTTTCAAGCTCTTGTGAATCGCTTTCAATTTATCTTGAGCCTCTTGAATTTCTTTATTAAATTCCTTTTGTTTGTCACCAGATGTTTTCCGTTGGTTTTCCAATTCGTCGAGAGCCTTTTTCGTATCTTTCAATTCAGTTTCGTGAATAATATATTCCAAACTTCGTCGAGCCTTGTCCCATTTTTGATATTCTTTGAGCTCTTCTTTTTCCTCCTCCAATGTGGCCAATCTCTCTTCGATTGTGTGCAGAAATTCTTTGATTTTTTCCACTTTACCTTCGGTCTCTTTGAGAATGTTCATCGATTCTTCTTTTCGTTCATCATAAACCCGAGTACCGGCCACTTCACGCAATAATTTCAATCGATGTGCATCCGGTGCGGTTGCCATTTGATTGATTTTACCTTGTTTCACAATATAGTATGGATTTGAATTGGAAAAACCAGCCGATTCGAGTAAATTCACAACTTCGGTACGTGGAACCACTTTTTTATTCAAGAAATATTGATCTTTTTTGGCACCAATTACACGACGCAAAAAGATTTCATCTTTGTCGATCTACAAATTCATTTGGATTTATTTATATAATATAATATTAATTTATATAATTTAATAATATCTTTTTTGTATGTAAATTAAACTCACCGGAATTCGATTATCCGAATTGTCAAAAATAATTTCAACGTAGGCGGATAGAACACGGGTGCCAGTACCTTCGTGCAAGAGTGCTTGACGTTGTTCGGGTCTTAAGTGGGTGAATTCATCGCTGAGCACAAATTGAATTGCAAAGAAGAAATTACTTTTGCCCGAACCATTTCGACCAACGACCACATTGTGTCGCTTATCGAACGGTTCCACCACCGTTTGTTCGCGATAACTTTTGAATCCTTGGATTATAATCTACGAAAACAATGAAAATAAAACATTTTTAGTACATTGGAAAATCAATCAGTAGATTTTTGGCTCGAAGGTAGCGTCACAACACATAACCTCAATTTCTATCTTTGTTTTGTTTTATTCAAACAATTTCAATTATTACGAACAGTAAATACCTGCTTAATATGCATTTTTGAGTCAATGACAATGACTTTCGATATGAACACTCATTAATATTAACAATACATCAAAATTTACACTAATTTTTGTCGATATGAATTTTAAATACCAAACACAAACATTTTGTTTCGATTACAAACAATGGATTCGACTCCACCGACATTTGTATGAAACTATTTTGACAGCGTCGTTGTACAAATGAAATTCAATATAGACACAGTCAACTGACAAACAACCAACTTCACGCCAAACGATAATGTTTTGAATAGAATTTATTATTTTTTGATATCGGTGATTTGATTTTCTTTTGAATTTTTAAATCGTTTTCATTCAAAAATTATCCGATGAATTAGTTATTATTAATTGAATGTTTATTTTTCGACGATATATTTTCTAAACTTTTTTTACTTTCTTTTTTATTCGTTGAACAATGCGTACATTGGATTTATTACTTTGGATATGGAATATATTTAATGGACAATAATTTGCTAACGGTTTCCATGAAACCGTATTTCTCAATAACAATGATATTGACTTTTAGTTTTATCCGACACTTGAACACATCGAGATCTTCAATTATATATCGATGAAAGACCGAATTCAGTTTTTTTTTAATTAGATTTAATCAAAATATAGATCTAAAGGCAAATGTGGAAAGTTGGTTCATTTCATGTGAATTAATATTCGCAAATAGAATCAGTTCTTTCTTAAACATGGCAAAATATTACAAAAGAGTCCAGCAAAAATGGTAACCGGTAATGAAATGTTGTTTATGCAAATGCATTTTTTTCTCAACAACTATTTTTATGATACTAATTGAAATACTGGAAATAAATGTAATTACGACGCGCCGGCAATTATTACAGCATGTATTACACAGGCTGAGTTTTGTTTTGATGAGTTAAAGTTTGTATTGGATCATCTGATGAAAGCTTTGAATGGTGTCTTCTGATTTGAGACAAATTATCTGTTTTTAAATTAAATTATTTTGAAGTCCATTCTAGAATTTTCAAGTTGAACCTTCACAAAAGCTGTATGAATTCATTTTGGCTATTTATTTTAAAAAAAAGACAATTCGCAATTGATAGGAGACTTTTTTTTGCTTTCACGTGTAATATACAAAAGTTAATTGACCTTGAATATTTTTTCGAGTAAATACATTGAAGATAGCGAAAAATTTTTGCTCGTTATGAAACACGCACTTTCTTTGATTAAATTCCACTTTCTGAATTTTTTATCGCTAGACTTTTACTTCTGGTTGGTTCGATTCGATTTGAAGAATGAAGAAAAGAGCAAAATGCAAGCAAATAATTGCATAATAGGTCTTTTTTTTGTTTTTATATTTTGAAAATTCTGATTGTTGAAAACATAAAATTATATCTAACGAACCTTTGGAAAATGTTCACATAAAAGTCGGAAACATGCGAGTACCTTTACACGAATTGGTAAGCTAAGCAAACTTTGCAAATGAACTCAAGGTCAAGATCTTGAAGAATGCCGCGAGTGGAAAGAATATTAAAGGTTTTCAAACGGTAAATTTTTGCATTTTGAATGCTTTTAAATTTAATTGATACATGACTTTCTATGTGAATAGATGACATTTAATGAAAAACAAATACTTTTCAATAAAACTGGAATAAATAAACATTTTCCATGACTGAAATATGATACGTTCGTTTACATTGTTTACCCATTCCTTCGTTCATTTGTAATCTTTGTCGAGCATTTTTGGCTTAAGGTCCATTTTTATGAAGAGTTTACTTTTATCAAGCAATTTATCATAAATGTTTGAGACACGACAATTATGTCAATTTTCCATTTTTAGTTTGAATTCATCACAATGGACAGTATGCAGTTTTTTTTTTATCTCAATTCAAACTGAATTAAAAGAAGTTTTATTTTTCGATGATATCAGCTTATTTCTTGTTAAGGCTCTCAAACTTGTTGTCTAAATCCTGAAAACCGTTTTAAAAATTCATTAATTTTGCTCAAAGCAAAAAGAAGTGAACTGCTCTTCACTCTTCGAATAAAATCTCTGTATTTTCATAAAGCAAACATACACGATAAATATAATTTAAATCGTGTATCCGAATTCGTTCGTTGTTCGTTCGTCTCTCTTCTTCTGTAAATAGAGTAGCGCGTGCCTGTGCAAAAACGTTGCAGGGGAATAAGGTATGCGAATGCGAAATGTAAACAATGGATTGGTGGATAGCAACAGACGTCATGCAATTCGCATAAGGTGAATATTGCAAAAAAAAAACTGACAGCTGATTATGTCAATTAAATGTAGCAAAAGTCAAAATTCGCCAAGAATTAGAAAACGTGCAACGCGATGTGTTTAAAAATAACAAAATAGCCAAACATTCAAGCAACCTGTGAAATTGTGTTGTGGACTATTTCAAATCTGGGTGATTTAAAGTTCGATCGAAATCGAACGCGGTAAGTAAAGCGGCCGAAAGGCAATAGCCGGGAATCACAATTGTTGTTTATCAAGTACAATGCAATTTTGCTTTCGTTGGTGGTTTTGTTGCGGAACCTGATTTAGTATATATGATTCATATATATATATATTTTTTTTTTCTTCTCTCAATTATTGAGACATTTTCGAAAGAATAGACGTAAAATGTTGCAGTTTTTTTTCGATTTTTGTTCATACTTTCAATCATATGTATTGACGTCGTGCTAAGTTAAATGCTCCCTTTCACGTGGTCTCACTTGACACGAACAAAAAAAATGGTACGACCAGAAGTTCCAGAAGTGGCAAAAGAATATCAATGGAAAATTTGCCAATGGAAATAATTAGCGAAATACTTTGCTTGTGATATAATTAATTTGTCAACAAAATTGTTATACATTGTATTGTTCAAGTTACCAGCGCAAAAAGAATTATCGAAAATGAGACTTTGAAATGCTCTCTTATCAACCAATCATTGCTTGTGTTTTACAACTGTTCATCATCTGTAGTGTGTGTGTTTTTTTTGCTCTGCTCAGTTTATTTTTGTCTACATCATTCCACAATGTAAAGAACAATGATTTTGAAGTAGACAACGACACTGACGTCGATAATTTGTGATTTTGATAATAGATTAATTAGCCGTGTGTGCGATTTATGATAAAAAATGAAATAAAGGAAGAAGACAAAGAAAGAGAAACGAGAAACGAGATATTTCTTGATATAGTTTGAATCATGTGGTTTTTATCTCCAGTGCTTCAGACGAGTTGACTGATTTTACAAGAAATCCGGATTGTTCTGATCTCTCTCTTTCTCTTCGCCTCTTTCCCCTGTCAAACTCCATCTTAATATTCACCGAATTTGCACAGTGTTTCTTTTTACGCAACATGCTAGAAACATTGACGATTTTAATGGGTACGAAGACCTGATTAGATCATTTCAATCGCTATTTTAGGGTTTTTATTGTGGATTAAAAACAAAATCAAATACAAACAGATCAAAGTCTGAGTTGTCTAGTAGTAAACAGCTCTATTTCGTATAATGCATACTGGTCATGACTTTTATTATTATTATAGTGTAAAATAGACTGGGTGGTAAGGCGGGTGTAAGGACAACAATTAAAAACAGAAAAAAACTGGTAAATGTCAGTTTTCTCTAGAAAATGATACAACGGATGATTTTTAGAGTAAATTGCCTGCTTTGCTACTTCTATATTTGCCGTTGATAACAGCGATCATCACCGGTACTCAAATGTTTGGCCAATTCAAGTGCAAATGACTTCACTTGAACCGCATACAGTTTTATGATACGAATGATATATTTTTTCTACATGTAGAAAAGAGAGTGATAATGATAATGCTTTCGATTATAAAACTTAATAGTGATATTGCACCACATTGTAATAACTCGTATCTGTAACAATCAAATTGGAGAAAAAAATTGTACGTGGGGCTCTCATTCTTTTTTTTTTTCTTCTTTGCCACTATTTACATACACTCAAATTTGTGTTGTAATTTACAAAATGATCTAATGTACTTGCTCCAAATTGGCCCTTTTTTGAATGCGATTTGGGATCAATCGACACGATGACAAAGGCTATGAATTGTAAATAAAAATAAAAACGAGTCTGATTTCAGTTCGAAGGAGCAGCATTTAATGTGATAATTGTGTCGCGTATCGCATACAGACGAAAATCAAACAAGTGTGAAGAAAAAGAGCGAAAATGAAATGAAGAAATAAATACGATGATCAGCAGAACTAATTTATTTGAGTAAATATATTTTCCTTACATTCGTCATCGCAACGTTAGATTGATTTTAGCAATGGGGGCTTTTGATTGTATGTATGCGTGTCAATGTTTTCAATGTAGCTCCTTTTGATCAACGATTTTTTTTGTAAAATATTCATATGTATATTGGTTGATGCGTGAGTGATATGACTTTTGCTATCAGTTTACAAGTGGTTTATAATCACTTGGTTGCTTGGTTGGGTTTTCGTATTTTTCTTTTGATTGGCACTTTGTTTGTGCGCTGCGCTCCGAAAAGAGTGTGTGAATTTAAAATAATTGCCTAAGCTTTGTTCAAAGCCGGTTTCAGTGATCAAAAGTCCATTGCTTTGTCGCATATGCATAGCATTGTATTGCGTGCCGTCATCAAATCAAATATCAATATAAAACCATATTCACCTCAAGCGAACTAAAAATTCAAAATCACATACGGTCACACTAAGTTTTTTTTCTTTCTTCGATTGTTTTATGTGATTTGTTTTTGTTGGTGGTTTTCGTTTTGAATTTTACATTCACTGGATTACTATAAACATACGCTCTCACCCGGGTTATTGTTTAAAATGTTACAATACATTGTTGAAGTTCAAGGGCTGTCAACTATCGAAAAGTGAACTTTATTTGAACATTTTCCAATCAAACGAATATCGAAATTAAACTTGTTAATTTCTAATCGTTTCATTTAAGTTTTATTTTCACCATAAAATCCATATTTGTTGATTATAAAAATTGTCGTGATGATCATATATGTGAGAACATTGTTCAAAAAATTTCAAAAAGTTATATGACTTGTTGGTTGGGCGGTCGATCACAAAAAGAGCCCAGTTGAAAAGTGAAACGAGTTTCCTTTAGTCAGCCTGCAATTGTTTGTGCGCGTGCGAGTGTATGCGTGTTGTGTGTGTGTATGTGTGTGTGTGTCTTGATTCAGGCGGGCTATTCATATTTTCTCCGGGTGGCCGAAGTGTGTGAAAGCACATGCGACATCGATCCATTTGCACAGTCAACGTGTAATGCAAATGTATACAGCTCATAGTTCAGTGGTTTGACGAAATATTTTGTGATTTGGATGCACTACCATCGAGAGTTGAAAGCAGAAGCGGCATTATTGGTTACGAGTTGGCCTGCTAATCGGCAACGTCCGTACGCACGTGTGTGAGTGCATGGTGATCCAACGAAATTCAAAAAAAAAAATCAATTCCCCCTGGATTTTGGTGAGTCAAATTGTTACTCATATATATCATGTTTTCAATATTCAATTCAAGCCATTTTCGGAAATTTAACAAACCCATTGTTCAATCTGCATATTGATAGCAGAGAAAATGAATCCATCAAAACATTGCACACAATCATGCAACCATACGTACGATCAATCTGTTATTGTTGGTATTTTATAAAAGTGAAATGTGAAGAATGTAAACAAATACGATAGTCATGCACACAGTGGCCAGGTCAAAGTATAGAAACAATGCGATGTATTTTGTTGTATATATTTATTCGCACTTCGGCATTGCCTACATATCTACTTCGATTATCGCTTGACTCGATAAACATGATTACGTCCACGTCAAGCGATGAACACAAGTAAAGTACAAACATTGTTTCACATTCGTTTGACAATTTCCAATACCACAAAGTGGTTTAACAATGTAATGTATGTCATCATTGTTCGATGATTACCAAAACTATGTCACTTATCAATATGTAAGTCTTCATCAACGTCAAGGTCTTTGTTTTTTTTCGATACGATATATTTGTATATCAAGTGAATGGAATTGCGTCCGATCATTTTGTATTCACCAACAAAAAAGACTGTGATTTACATTCATTTGGCATATCCTTGATCTTGATCTTGTTTAAAGTCATGGAAATATTTTAAGATCATGAAACCAGCAGACTGAAATGATTGCTTTATTCGGGTTGAATAGTCGGAAGCCGGAATTCGAACACGATTTTTCTTGGAATAATTTTATTTTTCTGCGTGAAAAAAATATGCACATTCATCTTCAGCACACATGTCAACTAAATAAATTGAGCACAAAATGTGAAAAAAAAAAAACAGCGGAAGTGAATTACTGCGCTCGAAACAGAGAAGGAGAGGAAAAAAACACATGACAAATGATTGAAATCGGAAAGATTTTATTATATTGGCTTGAATTTTGACTTTGTTCCGGTTTGTACCAGATCTAAACTAAAAATCTATTACAGCGTCAAATGATGTTTACATTTTCAAACGAGTTTGCTTTTTTTATCTATATCTATCTCTGTTTGCATTTTGTATAGAGCCAATCTCAATCGCATCGTTATCTCTTGCACATGCAAAAAAAAAATAATATTGGCTCACGAAACACGGAAAAACAATATATGCTTATATTTCATTGCAGGAGTTCAATACCTCTTAGAATACCAGATAATTTTCGTATGCTTTTTGAGACCAAACTCTTTATTATTCAGGTGCCATATTGACAATGAATAATTAATTGCGTTTAATGAACGCACAATCAACGAGATCTTAAACTCTTACCGCCACTTCTTCAAATTCAATATGTAAAGCACTCCCATCTGTATAAGTGTTCCGTTTCATTTTCTCTCTCTCTCTCTCTCTCTCTCTCTCTCTTCGGTTTTGTCTAGCAAAAATTGCAATGAGTGAATGAGATGTTATAATAAGAGTTGAAAATACACATGTATATACAAAATCTATATTCAACACACAAAAATTAAACAAAACAAAAATAATAATAGTAATAATAACAGCTGAAAAAAGAACACAGAATTAGCATTAAATTGCACAGAATAATAACGTGGTTGCTTCGCCGCAGCAGTCGCTGAAACAGAGAACATTATTCAATTCCATAAGCATTCATGAGAAGGAAGGAGAGATGTTTCACGATTATTACTATGATATTGTTATTTTGTTTTTTTTTTATTATTTCGTTGACGTACTGGTCGTTGTTGTTGTATTCTCTCTTTTGAATTGTTTTGAGAAGTTTTTAGATATATTTGAGTTTGTTGTTTTGGTCGTTGTTGTTGTTATTACTTCGGTATATGTGGTGTGCGCTGTACTGCTGGCCGTTACATTCATTTTCATTGTTTTTGTAAAGCCTGCCTTTTTTGAACTTATAAAAGATCTTACATGTTCGCCTCGATTAGTCTCATTATTTTTGTTGAATCGATACAATCGATAAATTTTTCCGTTTTGTGTGTGAAGTTTTTTTTTTTTCATTCGTTCGCATTCTCCTCTCCTTAAAATTCTTCCAATTGCCGCTTTCGATTTTAAATTTCCAATAAATTGTGCATGCTTGTGCACATACCGTCCATTCCATCCGTGAAAATTGCCCCGACTCGCATTTGGATATTTGCCACAAAAATTCGTTTTATTTTTTTCATCGACAATTTGTTCCCCCCACAAACATTCAAACATTCGAACATTTTATAGAGCCGATCATTTGATGTCGATCCAATATTGTCGATGCGCTCATCTAAGTGAGTTAGAAGGAGAGTGTGTGTGCATATAACGCGTGTACATATTTTGTGTTGTGTATAAATTGCTGAAAAAGAATGTTGTAATTGACCAATTTTTTTTTCTCTATTCGATTTTGTTTGTTTTAAATCAAAAACTTTCGTAATTGATCGATAAACTGAAACGAGAAAAAAAGAATTAAAAAAAGGTACTCAATCGATTTGTTTTTAGAAAGAAAAATGTCAATGAAATTGAATTGAAGGACTTCCAAAGCGTGAGTGTGAATAAAATGAATTAAATTGATCAATCCTCGAACTTGATTTATGAAAATCGAATTTCAACATTATAATTGAATAAAACAGCAATTCGAATCGGCTAATTGTGAGCGAAAAAAAGGTGAAACGGAACATATACAGATAAAAAACTATTCAATTGGAAATGTGGTGGCAATAATTGTATAAGTTCAGTACTTATTTTTTAATCTGTTAACCAAAACCAAAGAAAGATCGCTGTGCTGCACAGAGCGTTATTTCCAGTACATTCAACCGAAAATTTACCAAAATTCGTCGCATTTTTGTTCAATCACATCGAATCAAAATGCAATCGGAAAATCAAGCAGCAACTGGCAAAAAAATTGGCCACGTTCGTCGCCAGTCATATGGTAAAATTATGCCGATATCATCGTTGTTAAACAATCTCACTGGCTTCAATGCGCATTTTGAATCATCATCGAATGAAACGTCCGCTGATAATCGTCTACCCATGAACGAATCATTTGAAACTCTGGCGCTTAATAGCCGAGTCAATGAACGCAGCGATGGCGATAGCCACCGAAATGTTACCGATTCAACGCTAAATTTTATCAAACATGAAAAAATCGATGATGCAATAAATCAAACATCGATGCAAACAAAACAACCGTCGACCGCAGCCAATGTGATCGATATCGAAAAAACATTTTTAAAATGCACCAATTATCATCCACATGAAATGGAAATTAAAAATACCATCACCACTACTGCCGTCGCCAGCGATGATGCAAAATCCGATGAGGAAGATAACATCGATCGATTATTGCTTGATGGTAATAAAAATAATGATGCACCGTGTTTGATATGCACAAACAAAGATACGGAACCGTTGAAACACAGCTTGATGAATATGTTGTGCAAAAAATTATGCGATGAAAGTTGTAACACATCAACAAATACGTGTCAATCAAACGACTCGATTATAACGCATGCCGATCACGATGTTGATACATCAACAACCGCAACATGTGAAGATGATGATGGCAATGATAGTACAGCGTTGAAAGCGGAAAGTGTTTTACAATCAGCAAACAGTAGTCGTCAAGAGTTTTTGGCCAGCATGCTTAATGCAGATGATAGTGATAGAAATAGCGACAACGTCGATGATGAATCATCCCAGATTGTGCCGCTTACAATGGAGAATTTAAAGCAATTCAATGATGATTATTTTCGAAAGAAATTAGCTATCGCTGAAGCACTTGCAAACACATCAATGATGACATCAACGACGGTTAAAAATCGGTTGGCCGCACGAAAAATTGAAATGAGCCTCAATTCACCCGATTTCATTTACGATCCAAAAAATGCCGAATATATACCACCAAAAGAGTTGCTCATATACTTGATGAGGTAATTATTATACTTCTTCCGTATCCATTTCGAATTTTTGTTCGAGCATCGATTTTGTATGCATACTTGAACTTGACATTGACTGATAATTTTCATTGGTCGCATTTATGTTCTCTTTCTCCATCTTTATTCTCTATCTTCGCTATTTCGTACACTTGATCTCAACAAATAAACAGAATAATATCGTATAATATATTGTATGACACTCTCGCCTAGCAGATGCCTGTGCAAATGCATTGATGACTTAAATTATTATGTAAATGCATTCGCATTATATTAAATCGGCTATTGAGTTTTGTGGAACGTGGTGAACCAGTTTAAGAAAATTGTAAATGGTTCCGGTTTAGTAAAAACAATAAATGAAAAGAACGAAAAACAAAAGTAAATATAAAATATCAAATTGATATTATCAATATATATATACATACATGCATATGCATGTGGCAATTGTCTCACTTAAATTTATTATGCACACGAGTATTTGTTTCCATAAAACTCATTTTATTTATTCTCTGTCTCTCTTTCTCGTGTAAGATTTACATCAAATTGACCTTGGTTTGCGTTCAGTTAATATATAAAACTATTTCCTTCTACATTTAAAGAGAAATAAATTTCAAGTTAGATCAAATGAAATGTGCCGAGAGAGAAAAAAAAGATGTATATATCTTGCAAGCGATCATTAGATGTCCGACTTTGCATTAAAACCAGAAAATCTGTCGATTTAAATGAATAATGATGATGGGCGATGAATCTTCGAACAAGGTTTATAAGCAACTTATCTTAACGTAGGATTTGAATGGTGAATAAAAAAAAGCAAGACGTGTAGAACTTTTCGTTAATCGATGGGAAGCACCGCAACAGACATCGATGAATCCACATTGACAACAAAATTGACACAACTGATCTGAAGCCAATCAACGTGCGAAACACTCATTTTTCGATTTCTAGTTTCTCCGGTTGAACACCAAAAAATACATTCATACACTAATTGATAAACGGTTCTAGTTGCGATGATCTCTCTCTCTCTCTCTCTCTCACTCGCTTGCTGCGACCACGAAATTATTAAGTGATATATTTACAAACAGCAACAACAATAATGTATCACGATACACAAAGTTCTCACACATGAAGGTCAACATCATTTTTGCATGAATAAGTGTGCATTTCAATTAATTGTGTGACACATCATTGTAAGGACTTCTCTCTACTCTTCATATGTGGAGATATATAAAATGATTGTGAGATAAGTCCGGCATAAAGGGTCATTGTTAAAGGCGATCGATGTTGTTGTACTTTGAACAAAAAGTGTCATCACTAATCACAAAAACAACCAAAATCAGCTTGACCAAACAAAATCGAAACAAAAAAAAACACACAGCACACAATGTGATTTGCGTGTGTGCTCTGATTTTTCAGGAAGTGAATACACACTTTTATAGTGAATGAGATATAAAAATAAAAAAAAATATCGTACTCGTGTACGCACACGAACACCATCATACAAACGTGTAATGATTACGAATATTTTATTGTGCACAGAATAATAGATACATACTCATATTTATAACGACCCACTGGGACAGTCAATGTTTATTGGCTTGTCGTGCGCTGACCGACACCGAAAAAACTGGCCGTAGATTTGCCATAAAATATGAATATAAATAGCCACTTTGAATTGAGAAAGCTTTTTTTTATTAAATAAAAAGCAACTTAAGCAACCTGCCAGACGTTTTCAATGAACATAAAATGTTCACTTTGTACTGTCTATTTGCACAATTAAACAACGCGTATAGTAATTATCGGAAGTTATCTGTTTTGTCTGGTTTCTTTCACTCAATTTCATGTCATTGCTTTTTATTATTGTTCTTCAAAAATTGCGATGAACAGTTCACTCATGGAAAAATGGTTTTGATCAAACGTGCGTGGACTTTAGATTTGGAACGATGGCATTGCTCACCAACATTTACAGGTGTTATTTATTTATTTATTTGCACGATGACACTTAGTAGTTTGATATTTCATGAATCATGCTCACGATGAATGTTCCTTCACGGAACCATTTTGATAAATATAGTTCAAAACAGTAAACAATTCTTGTGACGAAACAAACATCGTACAATTCCACTTAATGGATTCAATCATGCTATGGAAATATGTTTTGAATGTATGACGATGATGTCAAAACGGATTGACTTGAATTTTGTTTTTATTTGCTATGTCTACGGTAATCTTGCTTTCACGGTGGGATCGAAGAAATTCATCTATATTTCATTTTTTTTAAATTTGTCCCCAAAATTTATTGGTATGCTCGACCTTTGCCTCTGTGTATCAATGCTATCCAGATGAAACTGTAATTAAATATTTTAACGAAATATTCTTCTAAGGCTTTTCATTACGTTTGTTGATTATTTGATCGAAAAAATGTACAATTCTCTATATCAATTCCTGTATACAAAATTGATTACCGTGATCAATAAATCCAACGTCGTCCGATTTTATACAACGTTTCAAGCGCATTGTTATTTGATCATTCGTGCGCGCACATTTCGTTTCATTTGAATTTTCTTTTTATTCAACGCGGCTGAAATTCGAAAATTTCAATTTCAAATTTGTGTCTAGAATGAAATAACCGACGTAAATGCATTGTATTTGCACGAAATACATGCAAATGATGAATGAAAAAAAACACGCGCTCTATAAATTATAATGTTTTCAGGATGTCCAATTTACATTTAAATCAGCGAATATTAAACGTATTAATTTTTAAAAAATGATAGAGATCAATGTGCAACTGTGTTTTAAGGATTCATTTTCATCGATCCGAGAAAAAAAAGGCTTGAATAATTTTAAACGATGAAAATATTGTAAATTTTATTTTCTCTTTGTTCGAACAGGAATTGGCACACTGACTGAGAAGAGAGAAAACAAAAGAGAAAATGTCGTCATAAAATTAGCGAGACTCATACACTACCCCTTTATATTATAGATAGCTTAGTTTGTTATTATCTCATAGTGAAAACAATCACTGGAACAACGACGAAAAATCAAATATTGGCCGAATTGTTGTTTGTATCTAATAGAGATTCTCTCGTCCCGCTGAACGTCACACAATAATTCAAATTTCAAATATGGAAATTATAACGAAATCGACTCGACTTTTTGTCACGCAACGGAAATTCATTCGTTTGCTATCAATACCAAGGTAAATGTTCTCATTGCATGAATCCGGGTGCACATCAAACAATTTCCATTAACTTAAGCGTTTAATTAAAATCAAAAATAAAATATCTTGATTGCTCATTAAACTTCACGCTTTTTTTTTTTTTTTTTTCATTCGCGGTGAATGAAAATTACTTTGGGATTATAATCATTCCAATACATATAAAAATGAACGAAGGAAAAACAACAAATATCATTTTATGCAGTATCAAAAGTTATGAATGAAGAGAAGGAAAAAAGAAACAGTTAACGATGTGACAGTCAATGTGCGTTGACTGGAGAATTAATTTAAAAAAAAAAAACACACGTTTATACGAATCAACACCAGAAGAAAAAAAAAACACACACAAATCGTGTTCATTCGACGTCATCAAAACCAACAAACTGGTTCGACTTGTATTTATATATGTTCTAAAATAATTCTGCAATCTAACATTTAATGATTTTGTTATCAAACAACATTTTCTCTGGTCGCCAGAGAATTTAAAATTACTTTGCTTTTCTAAACTTAGTTGTGGGCATTTATTTGTTGATGGTGAAGTTGACCGTTTGTTACAAATAATTATTTGCGGTAATGTTAGGGTTTTACGTTATGATCCTCTATCGTATACGTCACATCAATTAGTTGTCGCAAGCGTACACTTGATAAATAAAATTCATTCGGCGATCCATGAATAATTTAACTAAATATTTGCGCGCAAGAACAATAGGCAATAGACGAGCATGTAAAATCATGCAAATCGTGAAATAATGACGTGAACAGTGCTCGGTTGCGTCAGAATAACGAGAGAATCGTTGATCCTGCATTAATTTGTGTTCGATTTTGGTCATGATTCGTTTGAAATCTGATCGATGTGAGGAACGCTGAAGAGAAAACAAATTGAGCGTAAAAGAGACAGAAATAAATTAACAAGTGCCAAACGATGAGAGACAACATTCAGAATAAACGAATGAATGAACAAAAAATATACAACATGAAATTAAAAATCTTGTTTTCTGCGCGCTCGTTCTCGTATTTTTTGGGCAATAATATTTGTTGTTCTGTCGTTCTCCGTTTTTTTTTCTTCGGACATTCAGAGTGATCGCTTAATGTGTTCATTATGGAAACAAAATGTTCGAAGCACGAGCGACAACGCATGATAAAAGTCCACTAAGTTTATGCTCGTCTTAATAGTTTTGAAAGAATCTTTGTCGTGTTAAAACATAAGTTTATGAATCGCGCGATTCTTATTTGTTTCTATGCAGTCATTTAACATCTAACCGTATTTTAGTGCAAATTGTGGTATTTTCGCTTTGTAATAGAAAATTTGTTTTTTTTTTTTTGTAATTGAAAATCACATAAAATTCGAAAAACAACAACAAAAAAAAACGATCGAAATTAGTAAAATTCATCCATGACTTTTGCATAAATCAATAGTTAAACTGAAGTTTAATGGATTTCTTTCAAATACGATTTTAAGTTAAAGCTCGTTAAACGCACACAAGCTTTCATTTTACGAACGCAACAGTTTGACTTTGAAACAAATAAAAAAACAAGATGACTTGTTTGATCGATAAAATTATTCGTTCCGTCTGTCATTTGCAAGACAAATGGAAAAAAGAAAGAATGAAAAACACTGCATTCTGCATTGAAAATGTAAAGTGGCTAAAAATGATTTCAATTTATTTAAAATATTATTTGTGCTCGAAATCGTTAATTTTTTTTTTTCGTCAATTGTTTGACAATTGGACACAGTGCCAATGGTGGTGAAAATCCTATTTTAATTTCATATTTTTGCTTTCGAGTGATGTGAATAGAAAAAGATTCCACGACAAGTTGATTCCAAGAAGAAATGTGCTCATTCAATCAAAATTCTGTATTGTTCGTGATTCTATGTTAAGGCCAACGTCTCTAACAAAAAAAAATATGGTGATGCTATTGCCGTTACATGCGTGTTTTATTTCTCTTCTTTTCATTTTTATTCGGGCCATCGTCTGCGATTTGATTGACCTATCATTCACAATCAATTTCTTGATATCCAAATGTTTAGTGCCGTTTTTTTCTTTCTCTTCCCAGAACCCATTGCTTAGATTGATAGCTGCATTTTAACGGTTTATGCCTGAATCCAGTTCGAACGTCTTCATTATGTGCGCATGAACGCGCATATTTGATTCTTTCGCCTTTCTGTGTTTCCAATCGCACCGATTTTTGAATGTCTTTTGTGTATTTATTCAATATATGTTTACATGATTATGCTTATCGCGAGCTGTCTGTCTCTCTGGGTGTCTGTATCTTTTTTTTTTATCTAGATTTCGCTGTTGCTATTCTCTATGACTTTGAGCACACTAATTTGCATGCATCATTCAAATGAGCAGTGTCGTGTATCTTGACAATTGCATAATTCTTTTTGATTCGACACTAAATCAACCAATAAATGCCATGGCATTCACACATACAATCACACATTCGTGACTTTGATTCATGACATCGTACCCGGTGAAATGTAATGTGCATGTGAAAGCCTCACTACACGTCTGCATCATTGGAAAATTCTCTGATTTTATTTGTATCATTTTTCTTTTTCTTCGTTTATGGTTTTTTTAATCCATGTTTAAATATGATAAAATAAAATAAACAAATGAATAAAACACAAGAGATTCTCACTACCATATCTGATATTTGGTATGTGATTCTAGCACGCGCGCGTGTTTGATGCCAAAGAATAATTGCAAGGATTCGCCTAAAGCGTGTCAAGAATAAGCGACAACAGCAGCAGTAAAAGCCAAACAAAGAAAAAAAAACAAACAACGAAATGGCATACAATGCATTTCACGAGTCAAAGTGTACAGACAATGAAAGAACAAGAAATTGCAGATTAAGCTGAGTATTTTTTTTGCGCGTTCGACATAATTTTAAATAAATTATATCAAAGTGACTGATAAAATTCACATCGATTCAGAATGGAATTGTCTGAGTACTTTTTTTTCTTTCTCTACTGTCTGTTTTGCAATAATCGGTTGTGTGTTGGAGACCACAAAAGATTTGACAGAGACAACAAACATACAGTGAATCTGCAAAGTCAAATCGCTGACCACCTTTTTATTCACTCATTCTGTTTAACTAACACAGCACTCAGAATTTTCGAAAGCATTGCCCATATGATTACCTTGTTTAATGTTTTCAAATTTAATACGGCTGTAAATGATTTTTTTTTTTTATTGATGTCATTTTCGTTTGTCGTCACCGTTGTATTTCTCTTTTTTTTTCATCGTTGTCGTCGTCGAATTTTCTTTCTTTCAAAAGATTTAAAATATACAGTATTCAGCATAAATAGCGAATACACATAAATTAGTGTTGTGTTTATATTGATATTGTAATAAGCGAAAGAGATAGACTCTGAACAAAAAGATAAAACAAGACAAGACATTATGTCGAACACGTACGTAAAGTTGATCCAATGAAATCGAAATAAAAAACACACGAAACGAACTGAATAAAAAAAATATATGAATACAAAAATCGATATATATAGTTTAAGGTGATCACTTTCATCGTTTCAGTGTAGTTTGTTCCATCAGTTGCGTTTGATTTATCTTACCCGATCGTACACGGAGTGTTTAGCGTGCGGGCGTGTGTACTTAACACTGAAAATTTGTGCGTTAAATTTTGAACTCATATCCAAACAAGGAATTCAATGTACATCACTAAATTTGGCGAAAAAAAGCTAACATTTCAATCAAAAGAATTTTCAGTGTTCTTTTTTGCTTTTCGAATTTGTTTTTTTATTTGTGAATTTTCTTCATACACAATTTATTGATTTGATTTTCAATATATATTTTTGTTTTTGTTCTTTGCAATACCGAATTATTGGTCTAGAAAAATCAGTTCATTTGAACTTAAAGAATATAAATTGTAGAGGTTGAAAGCAGAAAAATATATTTTACGTTATAAAAATAATAAGGAAAATGCTTGAACAAATACCCACGGTTCCGCAACAACCAAAAAATCCATGCAAAAATGATCGCAAAACAATGCTCAAGAAGCAAGCATTGGCACGGTATTTTATTTTATAATTTTATTTTATTTCGCTTAACTTTTATTTTAAACTGAGTTGATTGTTTTCTGTATAAAGACATTTTTTGAGTATTTTGCCATTAATATTTAATAATTGCTAAAAATATAAAAAAAAAAAATCTTTTCGAAGATCTTTTTGATTATAAAAAAGAGATTTTTTTGTATATATTTCATTTTCAATTGATGAAAAATTCATCAAAACTATTTTTTGGAAAAACAATTTTAATCTCATTCCTAAAAAATAAATTATCATTGGATTTTTTTCCCCGCTTATATAGGATGGGATCATTTAATTCGGCGCCAAAAATCAATAACATCGATTCGCAAGATGATGACGTCGATATACCGAATGGTTTGGAAAGTGCCGCTGATTTGGTGAACCATTGCAAATTAATGCGTGGCGATAATCGACCGGAATTGTTGCAGCGATCATTTTTCAAGCCGATCAATGACCTTTCGCTGAATGATGTAACGGATGGTTTACGATATTTACACTTGAATTCAGTTTCCAAAGGTAGGTTTCTTTTTTCGTAAAATTTCGAGGTGATTCGAATGATTTTTTATTTCTAATTTATTTTTTTCTATTTAGTTTGTAGTTCACCAAAGTCGTCAACAAATCAAGTGCGAATTCTACAATGGAACATTCTGTCACAATGTAAGTAAATGGCAAAACTGATCGAAGAAGATTTGATGATTTGTGATGAATTGCAAACGTTTTAGCCAATACGTAAACGTATCGATAGATTGTTTGTTTATTTAAAAATCGATCAAAAATTCATGGAAAAATATGTGTGTTTTTTGGGAGGGGGAGATCACGATGCTGCCAATAAAAAAACGGCCATAAACAAGATCCAGAGCGACATCGAATGTATACGTAATTTGCGTCACATTTCTAAATTTGATTCAAATGATAACTCGAAATTCATATACCGCAAACAAAATACGAATTTAAAAAAAAACCCGTTGGAAATCGCCGCGAGTTTTTTTCTTCTCAATGATTCAAATCGAATTTTTACCCTTTTGGATATAAACAATAAACGATGTGTATTGGCAAACGTAAGCAAAAGGATGGAAATCCCAATACACAGATATTCGTCAAATCAAACTACTTAATAGCACATATGTTTAAAAAGAGAAGTACGAGACAATATCAATGACATATCAGACGTCAAACCTATATAATTTTTTTTATTACAAATAATTTTTTTGTCGTTCCCGATGTCGTTGCGTCGACTTTGATCAGCACACATTGAATTTGCACAAATTTACATATCGAATCAATTTTATGATATATTTTTTTCTACTTTTGATTCCATAATTCATCCGAAATCATGTGACTACGACCATTTTTTCGAAATGGATTGAAAATGTCTAATTGAAAAAAAAAAAAAAAATTAACAACAACAGCGTTGGGTCAACATAACGATAACTTTGTTTGCTGCCCAGCTGATGCTTTAACATGGGAGTCACGCAAGTACCTCATCTTACAGGAAATCATACAAAACGATCCAGATGTCATTTGTCTTCAGGTAAATAAATGACAATTTTATTTGAGGATATTTTTTTAAATAATTTTTTTTAATTTTCTATCAGGAAGTGGATCATTTTAAATTTTTGCAAACAATGTTGGCCACTCAAAATTATGAGGGTATTTTCTTTCCAAAACCGGATTCACCATGTTTGTATATAACTGAAAATAATGGTCCCGATGGTTGTGCATTATTCTACAAGAAAACAAAATTCGATTTGGTCAATTATGATACACGAATTCTTGAGGTGTGGCGTGTACAAAGCAATCAAGTCACAATCACGGCCAATTTACGCATCATTGAAACGGGCAAAGAAATTTGCGTATGTACAACACATTTAAAAGCACGAAATGGTGCTCTATTGGCCAAACTACGTAACGAACAGGGAAAGGTGAGTTGATTGATGACAATAATGTGTTTGAAATTCAAAGATTAAAATGAAAGATACGAAGAAAAAAACCGCACCGTTTCACCAATACTTATAAATTGCTTTTGTTTTTTTTTTTTTTTTTTTTTTTGTTAGGATTTGATGCGATTTGTGCAACGTGTTGCGAATAATCGGCCAATTTTGATATCTGGCGATTTTAATGCTGAACCAATTGAACCTGTTTACAGTACAGTCATTAATTATGCTCCGTTAAAACTGTCATCGGCTTATGCTGATTTGTTGGCATCGATATCAAACAACTCAAATGAAGATAAAGAGAGTGAAAATACGGTTGCCGTAGATGCGGTCGACAGTGAAACAAATGATGATGATGGCGATGATGGCATTACAAATGGTGTCAAAAGTCGTGTTGATCATCTTATCAGCAATGAACCGCCGTATACCACATGGAAGATTCGTGAAGAGGGCGAAGTTTGTCACACAATCGATTATGTTTTTTATTCACGCGACAAGCTCAAGGTAATTTATATTGACATTTATTTGGAATGGCATCGTTGGGCTGCTTGACACAGACTCTTTTTTTTATTCTCAGGTTAATAACTGCTTGAAATTCCCACATGGAAAAGAAGTTGGTGAAAATCGTACACCAAGCCATCGGTATCCGTCCGATCATTTTTCATTGTTATGTGACTTTGAGATCATTGACAGTGACGGTAATGACGACGCCGATCTGACAAATTGTCTAAACTAAACAGAGGCATTTGCGTTTTGTCTTTCCATTTTATGAATGAACAAACAAACTGAATTCATGGCAAACAAACATTTCTTTAGATAGATGCTAAATGATCAATAGAATCAGATCAATCCTAGATAGATAGAAGACATGAGAATAGATACCTTTTGAGTATGAAAGATATAGGGGGAGAGAGAAATAGAGAGAGAAGAAGCAATCGTATTTTGTTATACGTTACAATTTTGTGTCTAATATATGTGATAATAGCAAGCTTAGAACATTCTATATTTGTATATTTTTAAGGTCCAATACTCTACATTTTAACAATCAACAAGACAACGCAAAACAAACATGAGGAAAAACAGTCCAACTTAAGTTTTGTTTGTTTGGTTCAAATTTAACACATTTTTTGTTCGGCAAATTAATTCTTTTGGCAATAGTTTTATTTTATTTTTGTCAAATTTAACACATTTGTGTCAGTGGATCATATTTGTGGCTTTTTGGCCAATTTCTTTTGAAATTTGACCACATCACATTTTATTCGCAATTAATTTTTTTAAAGAATCATAAAAAAGAGGTAGAGGGACACACTATTTTATATTGTGGAAAATTAAAAAAATAAATAAATGGTTTGATGAAAACCAAAACTTTGTGTGTTTTTATTTATGTCATTGAAACGGATTGGACCCATTTTCTTTATAAATCATCGATTCTTTATTGAATTCATATTTTAAATGGTTTTTCATGTAAGTGCAGAATTTATTTAGAATGCATAAGCAAATTATTGATACTCTTTGCGCTCCCAATTATATAGGCTACAACACACAGATTTGTATTGTGAGATACATAATCTCTACCCCATCTATTATATTATGTATTTAGAATAGAAATTTTGTTCATTAAAAAGAAACACATTTTTTTTTTGTAATTCAACTTTTATTAATTTTTTATTTATTTTTTTTTAATTACAAAATATGAGTTTTATACAATCTTCCATAAAATTAATATTCAAGGGGAAAAATATTTATTTATTTTATTAAACAAAGTAATTAAAAAGATTTTCTGTTTATCGTCGCATCTTGTATTTCAATATTCGTAACGCTTTGGCCATTGTTGTTAGTATGGTAGACGATCCACATTCAATCGATTTTACGCATTACCTCTTCATTCCTCTTCATTTTCGCTATCGCTGATTTCAATAAACTCGTAGACATCTTCATTTTCGCTGTCACTGATTTCAATCAGTTCGTTGTCATATTGTTGTGAATTATTGAAGATAAAGTCCACATCTCCATCTTCAGTGGTGGAATAATTCGATTTATGGGGTGCGAAGAGTTTTTGTAACAATAATGCTTTTTTGCTGATTGGTTGAGTTGATAATGAAATTGGAGACCTGGTCGAATGATCAATTTCAAATGTCGATATCTCTTCATAATTCTGTGATGTCGATGATGTGGAATCACTTTTATGCATTTTTGAGAAACTGGTCGTATAATCCGATTCATGGGCCCGTTTATGCGATTTGGGGTGTTGAATTCCATGGCTAGTGTTGGAAGCTTTATTTATTTCGTTGTCCCGTTTGTGTGATGGACCATTTTGAATAGTTTCTTGATGAACTACTGATTTCACTTGATTTTGTTTTGTTCGAATCTTTGCAAAATATGCTGGGTTAATCACAAGGTTGCTTGCATTTCCACTTTGTGAAGGCACTTGTTCCACCATTAAATTTCCACTTTCCACTTCCATTTTTACTGATTTTTTTTTTCAAAATTGTAAATAAAAGGAATAATTGTGACTAACAAAAAGTGATTTCGATGTGGTTTTAACGGTTGAAAAGTGTTTCAAATAATTGTAGATAAAATTTAATTAAATTTAATTTCCAACCAATTTTCAATATCGTTGATGTGTTCTCCTTGAGAGTTTTTCACGTAATGTAGAGATGACGTATGAGCCACTTGCTTATATACCTGCTGTACCCAAGTACAGTTAGGATTGCAATTAGGATTGTAATTAGAATTATAATTA